GGAGTCTAAAATCCATTCATCTCTCCCGGTGAGGGAAGAGTTTCACAAGACAGCCTTCATCATTGTTGGTCACAACATTTGCAGAGGGATCAACATATTTCTCTCTCTTCTCATGTGGCTTACTACGGCAATACTTTTTCATATGGCTCAGCTTGCCACACTTCCAACACTTCATTTCCTTCTTGTTACCTTTCCTTAACTTGGATCGGTTTCGTGACTTGCTGACGCTAGTAGATCGCTCCTTCAATCTCCCACGAGTGATCTAGAGAGCGGTAGAAGAAGAAGAAGGTGTTGAAGAAGAAACCCGCTTTTGTTGGATGTCGTCCGTCAACAAAGCTATCACTAACTCGTTGTATGTGATGCTCTCTTTGTCTCGATGAAGCAACACACGAGATAGAGTGTGATATGATGCTGGCAAGGAATTTAAAAGCTGCAATGCCTTTTTCTCATCTCTCAATTCCTCACCCAAATTCAAAAGATCCACCAACAAATCATTGAAAGCATCAATGTGGTCTTGGATCTTTGTACCTTCATCCATTTTGAAGCTCATCAGCTTTAACGATGTGAAAAGTCAATTTGAGAACTCTTTCATGTAATACTTCGCTTGAAACATAGTTGTCATAGTCTCCAACTCCTTTACTTGTTTCAACACATTTGGCTTCAAGTAGAGAGTGACAATACTCACAGCTTGATCTTGGATCTCAATTCAATCCTCGTCATCAATATTCAAGGATTTAGGCTTGAGAACCTTCCCCAAGCCCATTGCCTCGATCACATTCTTGACTTGTCGTTTCCATAGGAGATAGTAGGTACGGCCATCAAACCGTTTAATTTCAAACCTCGGTCCATCAACCTTAGATAGCGTCATAGGTTTGATCGGCTAAAGACATTCCGTAATGACTTCAATAGAATCCTCAGAGAGTAAGCTTGACTCTTCACTTTTGTCGTTTAAATGCAGGGTTCCAGCACCTTTAGCAACAATTAAAACAAGTTCCAATCCTCGCTCCAAGCTATTCATGCCCAGAAAGCGCTCACGGTGAGCGCTTTCACCGTGTTAACCGTTTCCAACACTTGACCTCAAAAAACGTCAAAAATTAAAAGTTCTCAGAATTGAAATTTGAGACCAGTCACGTGTAGTTCACAAGCCAACACACTGGAATGTGAAAACTGTTTGTCAAAATCAACTCCGAATAAAAAGTTATTAACACCCAAGTTTAGGGGGTAAAAACTTGAATCTATACCATGGGAATCTTTTCTACCAAAACATTACTCAAAGTCTATTTCCAAAAACGTCTTTTAGATCACGTGCTCAACTAGCTTGAGAACCACGCTGTAAAATTTGAGCTCAAATGGATTTCATTTGCATACCCTAATCCACCAAAAATGCCAAAGAATCAACTCTCTGTTTGATTCCTTTTTGACAAGATTCCTCACAGTTTCTCTTTGCAGCTAACTTTCACTGTGAAGCTTGGTTGGACGTTTCGTCTTCCGACCCAACTATTTTGGGTACCTTCCGACCCCACTATCTCGGATCCACTTCCAACAATCTTGGAGCCCCCTTAAACCCCTCTGAAACTACGACACTGTGAAATTAGACTAACAGAAATTGACCTAAATCTTCAATCACTCGTAACTTCGCGACCTTCCATCAAAATTCAACAAACTTTAGGTCTAAATGATTATCTCGGACAGTACATCAGTCCTATCTTTGAAGATTTGGAAATTCGGTAACCAAAAAATTCAGATTTTGGAAAAAACAAAGTGCTTACTCTCACAATAGTTTGTAAGAGAGCTTTCCGCTTCAATTTCCAAAAAATCTCTCTAATCACTCAATGAAACTTTCTACTTCTTTCATCAAAGTGAAATTGGTGCCTCTGACTATTCTACAGAGAATCAGCCAACAATATCTCTCAAATTGCAAGTATAATCTCCGACAGCGCTTCTGCGCCTCCCTGCTCTCCAAAAATGTGGAAATCAGAAATAACGTGCATTGAACGAGCTCTAATAACAATTGATAGGCCCAAACATCCAGATCGATCAGCACGCACAACAGTCACAACACCGAGATAACGTGATTCACCTTTCACGGGCTACGTCCAAGGGCAAGAGCAGAACTTCACTAAAGCACTTATGATTACATGGCCTCCATAACCAAGCTCTACTCCTACCTGTTCAATGTATCGATGCTATCCTGAACTGTACGCACAGAGAGTCACCTTCTCTCTTCTATACGAGAAGAGATAAGGTGCACATAATACCTAACCTAACCTAACCTAACCTAACCACAGTTAACCTCATAACCATGGTTACCACTAACTGGAGTTAATCCAAGATAGATATAACCTAACATTAAGTACATTATTAGTTTTGACTAAGTAATGGAAATTTCATTGCTTAGACTATGTCTAATGTTGATTTAGTGCTAAGAGTAAATTCTAAAAGTCTAAAAGTTTCAATTGGCATGTTGACATGCAATAAAGATTAGAAATTTCTATAAGATTTAGACAGGCCAATGACATGTTGTCACGTATTGAGAACTAATCAGACCTGTCATGGTGAATTTTAGTAAAAGTAATTTATATTGTAATTACCATTTGTTGCTATGGTAATTTCTCAAGTGATATAAGTAAAGAATAGACTCTCAAGTAAATTTATAGAGCTCATTGTGTAAGTATTTGTTTCGTTAAAATGAATTTAAGTTTCACTATGCTTTTGAATATTGATGAGTGTTAGCAATTGAGTGATGAATGAATAGTGTGTTTGAGATACATGCACATTAGAAAATTTTACCTTCTAGAATGATGATGAGTTACCAAAAAGTCATCTGAGGTATATTTAATTGAGAATCAATGTGGAGGTCACAAGACAACGGGGACACGCTTTTGTGATGTAGAAATTGGCTCTAATATCAATTTATTCACCTTCTTCAAGGTTGAATTCAGTCCATGTTCCGCTTGCTTTCACCATGAATCAATCAAGACCTCAAAATCTCATAACCTCAAAATCCAAAGCACTAAAATCATCTATTGCAATGTCATGTCAGGTACCAATTACCAATAGATATAATACCAATTGATAAAACTAATTGACAAAAAGCATTAGACTAGTGGACAAAAATAACTCAAAGAGAATACCAACACCATGTATATGTGATTCGCCCTTCCTGATTACATTCAAGGAAATAGATAATATGTTCAGCACGACAAGCAAACTTGCCACGCCAAGTAATACAACAGGATGGCAAAAACTCTAACAGCTACATGTATCCACCGTACCCGACGGTTAAAGAACATTGCCAAAATCATCACCAACGATTTAAAAGTTTAGGTTTCCGTTGAAATGAAATATCACGGACAAAAACGGTCTCATGAAAATTTTATTTGTGTCTAAAATTTGACCAAAGAGAGTGAACCTTTCGTGATAGAAGAAGCTATGACTTTGGATTTTCAAATGAACATGTTACAGGGTTTTTGAACATATCCATCAAATCAAAGAGTTTCAAATCTGAGTGTTATAGTACATGGACATCCTTGTCGATTTTGTTTGGTAGGTAATGATATCATTGATTAAAAAAAACTAGTTTTATATCTTATTTTGCTTGCTTAACATTCTTTACATCTTTATTATGTTTCTAATATATGATCATGAATACACTCATGCTTGAGATGTGTACAAGGGGTTTGTATACATGACCATTTGTTTTATAAGTATCATAATATTTGATAGATGTTTCATTCTAGATGTATGACATTAGGTTCAATCTTGTCACTACTTGAGATGTGTACAAGGGGTTTGTATACATGACCATTTGTTTTTTGAGTATCAAACATTTGATAGATGTTTCATTCTAGATGTATGACATTAGGTTAAATCTTGTCACTACTGCTTGCCTATTGGACTAGTGTTAGTGGCAATATACAATATACTTTTAATACGCTATATCAAGAATGGCTTTACTATTGCTTCTAGTGCTTGTGAATCTCAACTTCAAGATGCACAAACTTTTTGATTCTCATCAACTTTCACCTCTTCCTACAACAATGAATTTACTTGTTGGCTTGGTTCTTCCATCTGCGTATTTCCTATTCATATATTACGTTGAATGTAGCAAATCTTATATTAACATCTGAATTACATTCAATGACAATGACCAATTATAGAAATGTGATGCTTGTGGCTGCGCCAGAGAATCGACACTTTACTATTGTGTCCATCCTCTACGTCCATGTGTGTACTTATCCGATAGAATCTTGACACAGATGATATGAGTACGAGAGTACGAAGTTACTGTGAGAAATGTGCTTGGTACTGATAACACACCATTTTACAAATGGTGATCGATCGCATGCTCATATGTGCCCTACAAGTGGAAAGCCAAGGGTAACTAAGGTTTCAGCTTGTGGAGTTATCTAAAGAGGAGATATGTCTACTTACGTGGAAGTACTGACTTCGACAAGTTAGCGAAGAAAGCGCAAGGATCTATAATTATTATAATAATCACCAACTTCCTAAACGCAACAAGCTGCTTTCATTGTGATCTAGTTAAGACAACAATTGCTGCAATCAACAGAAGAACAATTTCATACTAACTTTTCATAGGTAGTTTGACCTAGTTAATCACAATGGTGCAACATGAAACATAAAGGGCCTCGTCTCATGTTACTATAATAATTTGTTCTAGTGTGCAGTCTTACCTTGCTCTTTGTTATATCTAATGCGTACTATCGTCTTGACAAGCAGCCTCAGCTTCTGTTAATCACGAAGTTTTGTCTTCTTCGTTCACTCTTGGTGTATGATGTGAAGTCAATCTGAATATTCCTGGTGTAAATACCAGTTTTCTCTAATCTTGTACTTACCAAATCTGTGATACGGTTCAAGATGTCTCCTGTTAGCCATGACGATGGTCCCCAAGACAGAACCAAACTCATATCTCAATCAACTGTAAATTCAAGATCTTGCCAGCACACACGTGGCAACTACCGTAGAAACGTATGAGGCTGCACTTTGGTTCATAAGAAGATGTGCTTACTGCCAAGACATTGTCCAGGGTAACCTCCATTGGAACTACAGTAGTATTTATGCTGTTCAGAGGCGAACATTGAAAGTGAAGTAACTGATAGTCTTGGTAAACACTCGAGTTCACCTTACGTGTGCATCCAACAATAGAGGTGTTCGCACTAGTGCTTCTTTCTCACTTCAGGGTAGTAAGAAATTACCTTGTTCCTCACTACCCTGAAGGTGCTCAATTGTGCACATCAATGAATTACAGCTGCCATGCAGTTGACTGTACGTACAGTAGTAGTTTCGAGGTGACGCTGATCCTGACGTTCACTGGAAGCAACCTAACGAAGGGTCACAGAGCCTACACACTTCCGTTCTACTTTAGAATTTAATTTGATTCTTGACGTCAAAGCAACCTCATGACAAAACGTTTTTCTCCAAGATGGATACACCGGAATTCTTGACATCATAACTCAACTCTACATTCATGAAGACTTCATCTGCAGTGTCTAGATTTTCTGACTGACCAAACTGTGCAGATCTAGAGTAAATAGCTACTTGAGACTTAAAAACACAAGACAATCGGCACTCGATATTACAGACATTTAAAACCCCTGGATATCCTTTTGGCCATGTCAAAAGGAACACAGAGACTTCTTTGGAGATTTTTTGCTTCCTTAACGAGCGCCTCCACAAACAGTTCCTCCCCAATTCCTTTATCGCCAGAAAGCTCCATACACTTTTGTTGCACCATTGCTGCTACTCTGCTGACAACCAGGGATATATTCCCTTGCAGCGAGACAGATGCGGTAAATGCAAGTCCTTGTGTAGAGGATGTTTCGCCCCCTCCATGATCATTCTGAAATCTCCATGAATCACTTCCTCGCAGCAAGACATCTCTGCAAGATCGAGGTGTTAATTACTTCGTTTGCATTTGAAATATGATTTTCCTGGGCAGACATGACATTCACTTGAAACTAACGATGCCCGTCACCAAACCTTCGAAAATGCGTCTTCTCTCAACTGACAGTACTGAAGAGGAAATGGTGATTGCAGAATTAAGACCTGTATGCGACAGCAGCCTCCTGAACTCTCTTGCCTTGAGGAAGCGCCGGGTCGTAGCCAGGGCCAAACTTTCCTGATAGTCTTTCAACCATGCTTGGTGGAGCTGAATCAGTGTGCAGATTCACCTGACCAGACAGAAGAAAGAAGCTTGTAAACCCTGAACTTTACATCCTCATAGTCTCAGAAAGTTCGTCAAGAATTCGGGGGAAAAATCCTCCAGAACTTACTCTCGACAGTCACTCACCACTACGGTGCCATGGTCAGAGCTCAGAATTGAGCCCAGAGAACTGAGAAAGTAGCCATTTCTGTCCCAAAATTTGAAGGGTACTACGTCTTCTCCATCGTAAGCATCCACAAAGACTAGGTCGTACTGTCCCTTAGCCTTCTTTGATTCCTCCCAGACAAAATCCTCTCCATCGCTTTCATAGATGGAGATCCTGCGCAGCAAGCTTCCCCACAAAGCTTCCGCGTGCTTGGAACGCTCTTGACTGTAGGTGGAAGGTGAAGCAGCAACTCCGTGTTTGCTCAAAACATGACAAGGTGGAAATCCCATCGTATTCACCGCTGCCGAAATGACAGCGGAGTCAATTTCAACAGCATCTACGGTAGCTCCTACAACATTCACCCAGAAGATTTCAGTCGGCTCAGCTTCCTCAGAAGGATGTCAAAGCATGGACAACAAGACTCAGGTCAGAATTAGAGCAAGTCTAAATTGTCAGAAATCATGCTACGGAGCAAATTTGTTTCCACATGTAAAATTGGAGGTTTGCAATTAAAGCGGTGTTAGGATGAGTTCAATGTTTTAGAAGTGATACGAGCCAGACGTACCAGGTAAGTAATGCGCGAGAAAGAGTGGAAGAGTGCCTCCACCGAGGCCAATACACAAGATGCGCATCTTCTGTAGTCCAGTGGCCACAAGTTCCACATCTAGGCCGGCGAAGCTTACAGCTGCTAGTCCAGCTGAAATCAGGCTTTTCACATCTGTACGTAGTGCACCATGAAAATGTATATTGTCACGGCAAAAGGCAATGCATCTTACAATCGGCTAGAGCTGCTTCCATACTTGGGTTCAAGTTTTATTTCCTCAGAACGGGAAAAAATTTGATAAAAGTTGGTCATGACAAGCATAAACTCCCGAAGAACGAGCTTGTTGGAAGCTATATTCCTATGTGAAACAAGGACTTCCTGAGGTTTTACCTACAGCACAGAAAGAAAAATCGCACACATTTGCTCCAGCTTCAGTGCGTAGAGTGTAAGTGTAGAGACATGGGTTCACGAGATGCATACATTCAAAAGCTATACAGTTTGGCTGCTGAAGAAAGACAACCTTCTGCGCATCTTCGCCAGTGCCGACTGCCATCACTTTGGCCACACTCTGGCGGGTGATGCTGTTGAATCTGAGGACACGCCACTCATAACCCAATATCTTCAACGAAGAATCGAACACCGCGGTCCCGTTACTGCCGCCCGAGGTTCCTTGGTTGAGAAACGGATGTTCATTGCTTGCCGTCTGTTGTGAATCCAGATCAGAAGAATTTCCTTGCAGCTAAAACACTCAAAACTTCTAACTACTGGAAGTCGAAGACAAGATTCAGAGCATAGTTTTTAATGTTCTGAACATATTTCGAAACTTGGGCATGCTGCAAGGCAGACAGAGAGTCACTCTTACTGGTTGTGATGCAGGATGGGCAGTGACTGATACCACACCATTGCCCAGAAAGGTAGGCATTTCGAATACAATGTCCCCGTCATTCCGTCCCCATCCACCACCTTGTGTACCCCACCATTCTGGAGAGTACTTCCAGTCTCCTGGATCATCGTCTCTTCTCCGTTTGGCCTGCCCACTCATCTTCCTTATGAATGAGCCAAACCAGTCCCGGCTCAAGAGAGAGTCAAATGCTCTGTCCCCTCCGTCTGAGAAGTCTGCAGGAGAGCATCAAATTCAGTATCCACCAAAGCAGTGGACTTTCAGAGCTCTACCTCTGCACAAGCAGCGTGCTGCAGGGCCACTGCAAATATTGGAAAATGACTTATGATTGGAATCTTCTTCAATGGGCTAATCGACCCCAACACCGTCCAAATTTCTCAGGGAGGAATTTCTCCTGAAAAAGAAGATGCTAAAACTACAACGCACCTTCATCCGTTGATCCCGTTCCTGCACCACCACTAGAAGCTGCACTAGGACAAGTGAGCAAGACTCTCCTAGAGCCAAGGCCGGTCAAAGAAGGCCGCAAGAGCTCTCGTCTTCGGTGAAAGGGAGATCCATAAGTTTGTGCTGCCAAACTGGAAGCAGAAACTCCATCGTGGTAGTGACTTTTTCTGTAGACCCTACAACTTCCTGCAAATCCTTGCAGTGTCGTTCCGCAGCCATCTACCAGAGCGTGACATCTCCACAACCACCAGGTCGCCAAAGACATTGTTGATTGTTCCGAAGCACTTGTAACCTTGATAGAAAGATTTGCTTCCAGCTGCCTGACACTCGAAGTCAAAACATCTCACCAGAACCTACGGACGGATGATCCTGTGACATAATAAAGGAGTCGGAGGTCGGTGATTCACATACTGCCATTCACTAGAAGCTTGGCTGCAATTTGGAAGATCAGATAAAGATAAAGACTGTAGTGTCAGAGAGAAGGCGCCAGAGACAGCAACAACACAATTTCCCTTCATGATACTTAAGTACTCGGAAGGTCCTTTCTGGAAAGTTCTTCGTGCATCAAAACTTCATCTTCATTGACGCTCTGCACGAAGTCCTGTAGGAGAGAGGATTCTGAACAACAGTCGAACTACCAGACTTTCGGTCGCGCCGAGAGAAAGAAGTTACGAATTGACGCACAGGGATCTCACAGAGCTGAACAGAAAATAACTGACCCCCGTCTCAGAGAGTGCAGAAATCGAAAGCGCATCCGACGTACCCGAATTTCTTCCGCAAAACGAACACGTTCCGCCACCGTCGAAGCGAAGCCGCGACGACCGCCGAACAGCTTCAGCTTCAGGTTCCCGACGTCGTCGTCGTGACGCGAAGACATGTCCTCCGCCGAAGCGATCGAGCAGCTCAATCCACTCTCCACACGACACCGCTGAACAAGTCCACGAGGCGTCTGATTTTAAAAACTCGAATCGCGCATGGCGTCGGGATTGCGGTCCGCGCGAGAGCTGGGGCCGCAGCTGCCGCGGCTCGTGGACGATTCATCGATCGAGCGAGATCAAGTTCCCGCTCTCGTCGTCGATCGAGCAAACTTCGCTCTCCGCGATCGAGCTCTTCGCGCACTGTCCCGCCCCTGCCTCCGCTTCGGGCAGCCGTCGGGCAGTCATCGGGCAGACCTGGAAAAAGTTGCCGAGACCTCCACCACGGCTCCAGATCGGCTTACTGTGGTCGCAGCCAAACTCTTCGCTCCGGTTGGTCGTGAGCTTGCACGGTGGACGTGCTTCAGACCTTATTACACCCAGAAAACTCAGACCAGATTTATTTCTTTCTTTCCTCATGGGCTGGACATACTGTATTCAATTGTAATAGTTCATAAATTTTTATAACATGTGTAGGACAGTTTCTCAGATGCCAAGGGTATGTAAATATTTTTTCGGTGTTTGATTCTCGATTCTTTACTCTATAAATTCTTTTCTCAAAAATATTTTTGATTGTTCATATAAATATTCAACAGAATGTATATATATATATATAAGATGACCATGGGTATACAGATGAAGAAAATAAAATAAAGCATAAATAAAAAGAAAAATGCTCAGAGTAGACAATCGGTAACCAACCACCGAAATACAACGAGCACGAAGGATTAAATTGATTGAATACTTGGGCATGGGCGTATATTACCACGAAGGGCATGCACGGCACTCACTGTCACCGGATTCGAGTAAGGCAGGAAGGAGCGAAGATTTCGATTTCGCGTTCGATCTCGACGTGTTCTTACTTGCTCGACCTTTTGCCTTCCTTCTCTCTTCGGCCATGCGCTCTACGTGTTGCCGACCAACCGCGTCTCGCCATGTCAGCACACCATGCAATTTGGCCCGCTCTGGAGTGGGCCAAATTGCATCCATATCCATACATGACGTCCCATTAGCAAGTACACGGTGAGCCACTTACTTTCCTAGCGTTTTGACCAAATTCCAAAGAGCATTATTTCACTCATCTATCTAATTTGACACACTTTTGGCTTTTTGGACAGCCTTCAACCTCTTCTTGTAGCAACACTTGCGCCTTAAAACACGATGTTCTATTGAAAATCCCTCATACGAAAACATCAATTTTTATTAATCTTAATAATTCCGCGTGTTTTGTTCAAATGAGTTATTTTTACTTCTGCCTGTTGACTCTGTGAAAAGGGTGACTGGGAACACAAGATTAAAAGCATGAAGACAGTTCTGATAATGATTGTGCGTTTGAGCTAGCTGCTCTTTAAAGTCCTGTTGGATAGGTACCATTCTCATTAAGATCATAGGTCTTGCAAGACTTTGTTCAAACTTATGGCATAAGCACACACAAAATTCAATCCCATATTCTCTTTCCCAAATCCAAGTCATAGCTTCCGTGCTCTTTCTCTTTGTCCATTGATTGGAAATCATTGATAGATTGAGAATTAGAGCATGTTTTGTACTCACTCATTAGTTTTGCGTATAAATTCTTTTACTTCTTTTACGGCTTGCATATATGTTGCAACGGCAAGTATGCTTGCTCGCTTGTCTTTCGTTAAAAGTCTTTGTACTTTCATTATCTTTATTCTATATAACATCTAGCTTAGTCTTTGGTTTGATACATCTGTATATATTCTCATTATTCAGTTGTGTGTATGCTATCATTTAAGATCAATTGAGTATACATACGACTAATATAAAAAATTCATATTATAATATCATTCAATATGTGATGTTTTGTATGACTTATAATAAAAGTATTATGTTAGTTATAGTCATATATTTTAAATTATGCTATATTTATACATAGAAACATTTACTTATCACACAGATTAAATAATTCAGAATATAATATAAATAGTAGGTATGATTTTTAAGCATTAATTATATACAAAGTTATGAATTTTAATTAATCTAATTATAATATCAACTTTGTATTGATATTATAATCAAATAATCAAAGGTTTGATTGTAGATTGCTTGTTAGATTTAACTCAAATATTCATTATTTTTTATTGAATTGACTATAAATTATTATCTATATAACTTACAATATATAAAAGAGCTGATGAAAGTTATCTATTACACAATTAAAGTTTTTTGGTAAAGCATATTTGTTTTTTTTTTATATAGTCTCACTGTATTGAAACATGTATGTATATGTCTTGGTCTATTATAAGATTGTCTACGAATGAACTTAAATTATGTCAATCCGCAATCTCCAAATTTGATTTCTGACTTTGCTGAAAAAATTCAAATGATTACAAACTATTGCAAATTGATTTTTTTGTATTTCATAAATCATGCTTCATAATATCAATTTATTGATAAGTGAAATGAATTCTCTAAACATACATATAAGATATGCAAATTTTTGTTTCCAAAATCTATCAATATATTCCAATTTTTGGTTTAATTAATTTCAAATTTCACACAATTATTAATTAAAATTTAAATGTGAATTTAAAAATTCATATAAAAGTTTTAAAACAATTTTGTATTAAAAATTTTGAAAATTGATTAAATCTTGAATTTTATTTGTAAGAGTCAAATTTTGATTATCAGGTTTTGCTTTAAACAATAAATCATCCAAACAAGTGATTTTTTTATTTTATTCATAGATTTGATGAATAATATATCAAATTTATTTATTATGATTTTGAAAATTCAAATTTTAAAGTGTTCAATTTTAAGTACATTCAAAATAATTATTTTTTATTTCTGAAATGATCACTTTACTTGATCACAAATATCTTGCCAAAACTCTATAAGATTTTGGATACATTGCCAAATAATGTGAATATATATATAAATAGATGAAAATAAAAAGGTGTCATTTCGATTTTATTCCAAAAAAAAAAGCTCTTGCTTGACTTAGAGTTTAAACAATAGTATAAACTATATATCATTCTTAATTTGATATTAATCAGTTAAATTTAATATATCTAAAATTGATAATTTCAAATTGATCTAATCCAAATGATATTACAAATGAAAACGATATTTTTATCATATATCAGAATTTCAAATGATAGGTTTATCACAAAAAAATAATAATCATAGCTAATATCTGGTAATCAAATATTTATCATCTAATTCAAAGCAACAATGATGGATTTAAATTTAAAATTATCACTAGTCAAATTTTATATAAACTAGATTTTGAAATGATCATTATGAAGACACTATATGTTGATCACACATGTACTGGATAGAGACATTTTTAAACTCTCATGCTATGATCAATCATATTTTTTAAGTCTCATGTCATATTTATTCAAAATACAACAAATATTAGTTATTTTATTACCTATTTATAAATTCTAAATAGCTAATAAAACCAAACAAACCATAATTTATGTGGCATAGTTACTAAGTTTAAATCCAAGATACTTTAAAATTCTCATCTACCATATTAATAGACTAAAAAAGATAAATGTGATTAATTTTCTGGGAGGTGTTACAACATAACAAAATTGTTAAATACAATATCCAACTTTTCATACTATATGGACATTGCTTTCTTTATTATATTAAAAAGTTTGATGTCTAATATTCATTATATTATAGTGGGTGATACATACTACAAAATCTATTAGCTCCAGATTATCAAGATGAATTGATCTACAAGCAATATTATCTTGAACAAAGATCAAACAAACTTGACACTTATGGTTAGTTCTCATGAGGGCTACGATGAGAAATACATACTACTTCGTCTACTATCAAAGACTAACTATCTAATTTTCACATCTTGTCTAGAAGAACAAATGTGACATCAATTAGGCTACAAAGTAGCAGAACGATTCAGCTATTTTATACTAGCAATCATTTTTAGACTATCAAGACTAAAATATATGCAAACAAGCCTAACAAAAAATAACCTTGACAAGAGTAGCACTTATTATCTCCAAACTATCTACAAAAAACATTGTAGAAAACACCAAACATGAGATCAATGGTTAGTCATCAATAATATTGTGATGATAAATACATAAATAAACTCGATCATAATAATAAAAAATAAAGAATGTACATTTACATGTTACATTACATGATTGCTCTCTCTTTATAACTACTGCCGTATGAAGCAATGTGACGGGAAAGACGATGAATCGAGTAATACAAGTTTATAGATAAGTAAATAAATCAATGGCAATGCCAACATTCATCGGTCTCCATCCCTAAAGGTATATCACTATGTGCTCTCATTTTCATAATCATGGGATTATGTTGAAGGTCGAGATTTCCACGGGACGGGGGAGCTGGAGAATCGTCCTGTCTGGCGAGAGAATATGTTGCTGAGAGGAGTTCGACGCAGGCGCCGAAAGAATCGATGGAATACGGAGGTCGAAGTGGGCGACCACTGCCCGAGCCTTGACTCTGCGCTGCGCTGTGCTCGATTCGATTCTTGTGCTCGTCGCGGCACATCAGGTACACCTCTCCGCTCCACTCCACTCCTCTGCACTCCATGGCTCTGCTCTGCTCTGCTCTGTCAGCTGATTGACTGACTTCTTCAAGACGGAAGGGAATGGCTCGGTCGTTGGATCGGCCACTCGAGGGTTCTTGGGGGAATCTTCTCGGAGTGCTTCTTAATTCGACCAGAAGCTGCAAAGCATCGGGGGTTTAAGAATTCTTTGTCGGATGATCCCCGCGCGCCGCATCTTGATCGGGCTGAGATCGGTCGTTCACGAATCGGCGCCGAATTGCTCGTTGCTTCTTCTTGGAAGTGCTACTTCGATGCACCGAGTGGGAGTGAGGTTGTTAGATGCTCGACTCATCCGCCGGACGTGTGATAAATCTGCCGTTCGTTTCTATGAGTTCCTGCACATAAATCCCTCGCTATTTCTGAGAATTGTGAAATTTCTTGAGTGTGGCAGAAAAGTAAGAAGCTTTTCGGTTAATCTCAGAAGTACAAGAATGTCGAAGAGGCTTAACCTCCGCGGACTACGAAGTTCAGTTAGACATGATTATGCAATTGAAGCTGAAGAGAACGTGATATATTGAGTTTAAGCTTCTTCAGACCCGAGAAATCTCCTCAAGCTTGTCATCTCTCACCTTGAAGCACCGAAACGAGTGTGATTTGTGATTTGTTCTTGTTAACAATTGATATACTTTCTCCTGCAGGTCCGACGCATCATTCTAATGGCCGGTAGTACCACAGGCAATTCCGACCGAGCCAGTCTTGAACTCGCCATACATGATGCTTGCGCCAAGTCTCCTGAAGGGTCCGATCTGCTCATATGTGCATTCATTCAGGCCCTTCGAAGCTATCGTCGCTTTTCAGGTGAGTCTCGCTCGAGGTACAAATGTGCTGAACGCAGTGTTGAAACCTACATTCTCAATCATCATCGGCCAACTGACTGTTCAGTATCATTGTCCAGTATGTGCACCGTTTCCGAGCTTTCTGATCAACGACGCGAGGAATAAAAACTTCAAATCCGCAAGTGAAGCCGTCGCAGGCTTCCCATCAACGAAAGAAGTGGCTTGGTCGGAATTGTACGAGCCCGGTGACAATGAAAGTGTCGTACAGTCCCTTCAGCACCTTTCTGTCCAAGCATTGATGCTGCTGAACTGGATACTGCGGTACCGGTATAATTTACAACATGTAGAAGATCCGAATGAGGAATTCAGGAGCTTTCTTTTCCCAAAATCTCCATGGGGAAATATTCGAGACTCCATTCTGAATCCGTCCTTCGTACTCAAGGTAAACTTCGTACTCTTCATCGTGGACCTCGTTCGTTCGTGGTCCCGTCATTTATGAACTTGAGAGCTTACAATCTAGAAGCACATGGTTGGATGTGTATATCCAAAGTGTACCAGAATCCACTCACAGATGCATGCGTGGATAGTTCTTCATTCTGCAGTCGATCGAAGTTCATGGTCTGGTCGAATGTGCATGAAGCGAAGGAAGTGAATCGAGTCCTTTGTTTGATCGTTGGATTCAGATCGTTGGATTCAGAAAGTCGGTTTCTTCGTGTGCTACAGGTACAAGAGGTAGATGAGGGGAAGCGGGGAACTACTGCCTTCGAAGCGATCAGAACCAAACATGGAAGTATAATGGCTTTTCATGGAACCACAGCAGAGAACCTTCACAGCATATTACGTTGCGGTGAGTCCAGTCTTGACCTAGTCTCTGTCCAATGAACACTGTATGCAGCAATTTCTATGATGGACGAGAGAATCTGTATGAACCTAACAGCACCTCAGATTTTTTCAAGCACAATTCCTTGCCAGGCAGGCCCCTTCGAGTATCTTACAGTGTTTCACTTCTCCATGCCGTGCCTTCCAACTTTTCTCTCTCGGTCGAAAATCCTTGCTCAGGTTTGCTGAACATGAGCAAAACCCCATTGCAAAGGAATGGAGCCATGTTTGGAGAGGGTGTGTACCTGTCAACTGATCTATCAGTTGCTCTGACGTTCAGTAAGTCCGGCGAGTCGTGGGAGCGCTCATGTTTGGGCTCGAAGGTAAGCTACGTGCTTCTGTGTGAAATTGCCAGAGGTGAAGGTGTCGAGTGCTCCACCTCTCCCATAGCCGATAACACGGCCAGTAACGGGAAGCTTAGCTTGCGCACCCATGGGACCTACGTGGTGGTACAAAACAGTGATCTGCTGAGAATCAGGTACGTGCTTGTATATAGCGATTCCCCACGAACTCTTCTAGAAAGTCAGCAACAGCGCGTTGAAGTAAAGCAACCTATCAATCAGGCCTTCAAAGGTAAAATGAGTTTGTTCACCTTGGTCATAGTGTTGTACCTTTTTGGTCTGATCGTGTTGGGCTACCTCAAGGGAGCCAAGAGCACCAGATTGTCGATGCTGCTAAAGCAGTTGTGGTGGATCTTGGACATGATAAGACATCGAATAGATAAGTGGCTCGATAGTTGGACACTTCCTCCAAAAACTCTGCAGTAAGGAGCCACTTCTTATATGTAGTCTAGCAGTCCTTGTTCAAGCGGTCGAGGTGCTACTCAGCCATTTCGGCTAAGACTTCGGACACTCTCACCTATTGGGTCTCGTGCCCCCCGGGGCCACAAAGTGCGTAGCACCTCTCCTTATAGTCTCGTGCCTTTGGCTTCCACTTCGTTGCCAGTCGTTTTTGAGTACGTTGGCACATGAGTTTACCATCATCTGTAGTAAAAAATTGTACATAATAAGATCGGCCGGAAATTTTTCACGTGCTGGATGTCATTTTTCACTCGAAGTTTGGGCTTATGAAGAATCAGCAAGAGTCCTCCAAATTTTGTTTGCGCAAGTGTAAGTTTGAAGTTTTGATCGCCAGGGTCATGAATCTGGATTTCAGAGGATGGTTTACAGTGTGATGGATATCATTCTACTTGAGTAATGAAGTTTCATATTGTTACGTTCCCACTTGTTTCGTTTTCACAGTGACATGTCTGAAGATGATTCGTGATGTATGTCCGCGATTTTTGATATTTTTTCTTGATTTGGCCTGAAGGTAACCAGCCAAACTCCACCCTCGTTCGTCATGTCAGCTACAAGATTTCTTTCTGATGGCACACAAAGAGAAAATCGTAATCATCTTGCAGTTGGAGGAGGTACCTGATCCAGCTTTTAGATTCGAAGGCACTCAGATGAGTTCACGATGTTGACCAGCATTCAGTGAAAAAAGTTTCCAACAGTTTCCGAGGCTTGTCTGCTGCCCATGAGGCAGCAGACAAGCGTGAGATTAACGACGGCTATTCTGCGCTTTATAAAGGAGTATCTGTCGGGTGCCGTGTAAGCTGGGCAATCTTCACCCAGGAGATTTGTACCCATGATACCATTAATATACTGTTACATGGTTCGCGTGGTTCGCGTTCAAGATGTTCGAAGGATTGAGAGACCAAGAGAGGAACTTTGTTTTCCCCTACAGAAAACGTGCAGAAGCCATGGCGAACATTGTGAGAGACAGCTCCGATTTTACTTTTATTCTAGAAAAAAATAGAAAGAATCCTACCGATGCTCACTGATTGGACCGTCGCAGTGTCAAAACCAATTTACAAAAAGAACGGATGATCCGAGATGAGCTTCTCTCCACGAAATCGCCTGCCACCTAGTCGGGTATACTTTCATCACAGCCCCTCGGCGCGAGGACATCATTTACAAACTCCACATTTCCGTCGTGCTTTCTATCCACCCCTAAAGCCTATCACCAGGCCTGCAGCCAAAACCTCCCTAATTCACACCGCTCGTAACCTGCACAAACTTCGTACGCAACTCCGTCGAAAGAAACGCTCCGACCTTTCGACCTTCCGACCTCCTAAAATATTATATTTGTACAAAACGCAAACAGAAAGAGTTTCATCGCGCGCCCCGATTCCAGACAAATGTCACTTCTCTTCTACCTCCTCCTCCATCATGCTCTTGCTGCTGCGGCGGCGGCGATTGGCGTCTGCTTCGTGAATTATCTACAAATTGGCGGCCCGAAGAAGATTCGAACTCCTCGCTCGAAAGATGACACCGAACGAAGCAGTGACATTTCACGAGCTTTGAAATGTCAATCGCAATCGGAAGTCAGTGAATTTCAGAATTTTGGCACACCATGAGAGCGATCGACGCCGGATCAAAAGGTCGAGGATCTCCAGCGCTGGACGCGGTGGCGGAGATGTCGGTCAAACAATCGCCCGAGCAAGAGCTATGAAATGTCGATCGGAAGTCGGAGAATTTCAGAATTTTGGCACGCCATGAGAAAGGATCGAGAGGATCATGAGGTCGGGGGAGTCCAGCGCTGGACGCGGAGGCGGAGCCAGGCGGAGATGTCGGCCAGCAGGATTGCCACGTTAGCGTCGGGCTCGCCCTGCAGCAGCGAGTGGCGCATGCCAGCGTACATCTTCAGCGTCTTGTCGGCGCTGCGGGCGCGCTCGAACAGCGCCACGCTGGTAGCCGGCTCCGTCACCACGTCGCGGTCGCCGTGGATGATGAGCACCGGCAGGTCCACGTCCTGCAGCCGGTGGCCGAGCAGCGCCGTCACGCGCAGCAGCTCCACCACCGTGCCCAGGCGCGGCCGGCCTGCGTAGCGGCCCGGGTTGCGCCGCGCTAGCTCGCGCTTGTACGGGTTGCTCACGCTCTTGTCCACCAGGTCCTTGCTCGGCACGATGGCCCAGGTCGGGAACACATGCGCCACGCAGGCCAGCACGTCCGCCACCGGCCACGGCGGCCGCATTCCGTCCGAAATCTTGCACATTGCGGCGGCCAGGATGGCGCCGTCCCACTGATCCGGCTCCCGGAAGTGGATCAGCAAGCAGATGGCGCCGCCCAGCGACTCGCCGTAGAGGAAGGCCGGAATGCGGCGGAACTCGGGCCGCTCGCGCTCGCGCTGGAAGAACTCGCGGCAGTCGTCCGCCGCGCCCTGCACGTCCGGCAGGAAGCCCTTCAACCCTTGCGTCCGGCCGTGGCCCTCCAGATCCGACGCGCAGGCCGCGTATCCCATGTCCGTGAACAGCATCGCCGTGTTCTGAAACGTCCAGCTCGTGTTGTTGCCGTAGCCGTGAACCATGCAGATCAGCGCCGTCGGCTCGCGGTCCGTCGGCGTCCACGTCTGCGTGAAGATGTCCACGCCGCGCGCCGTCCTCATCCTCGTCCGCCGGTTCTCCACTCGCCGGCGCTTGTAGTGCTCCTCCTCGGACTCGAAGCCCCACGGGAACGGCGGCACCTCGAAGCGCCCCTCCTCCCTCAGCGCCCTCTCCTCCTGCCCCATCGCCGCATGCACCCTCCGCCCTTTCCAATTTCTCGTGCAGAAAGCAATTCCTCTCCCGAAACGAAGATTTTGATCTGCCGCTGCCGCTGTCTACACCAATTCGAGCTCTGTGATGCTCCCGCGCCCTGATTTATCTCCCCGGCAATCCTCACTCCCTCCCCTCCGAGTCTATTCTACCTCACTGCGATTGCACCTGCTTCTCAATCTCAATCTGAGCCCTGTCTCTCCTCGCCTCGCCTCTCCCCTCCGAATCCCTCCCGTCGGCCTGCCCAAACTCCGAGCCACACTGCGGGCCTGCGCTCCGTCTGTTCTACTCCTCCCTGCCTCGCCCGAGGTTTCCTGCACTGTCGGCCTGCGAGGTCGCTTGCATAGGCGAAAGCACACGGCGAATATGCTGCGGCATCTACTTTTCTGCTCTGCTCTGATGTGATCGGATCCGATCTGATTTCCGCAGCGCCTGTCTTCTCCCGTCCGAATTCGATTTCTACATACGTTCAAAATGCACTCGGCTCCGCTCCGCTCTGCTCTGCGCTATGGTCTTCTCCTCCCGTGGTGGCCCTCAAGTTGTCATACAAGATCGCAAGTGGACACAGCGCCGACGCAGAATCGGGTGAATTGCGATTGCGGTGAATTGCCACAGCGTCTCTCTCGCTCTCCTCGTTGATTCCCTTTCCCGATTCGCGTGCGCAATCCTCCACATCGACTCGCCTCGCGGCGTCGACGAGCTGACCTCTGCTCTGGCTCTGCTGCGCTCTCGCCGTCTGCTGTTTCATGGCGCACTCAACTGTCCAGAACTTCCCTTCCCCTCTCGCTCTCTCTTTCTCTTTCTCTCTCTCTCTCTCTCTCTCTCTGAGGTCTCCTGGCATGGCTTTTGAGGCCGGAGGCCGCGAGAGGAGGAGGAGGAGGGCCAGGCCAGGGTCTCGAAGTCGTCTTTCCACGTGTCGTCTCCGGGGCTAACACGGGCTCTCATTGGCTGACAACAAAGCTCGTAGTTTGCAGTTTCGTCACTCGTGGCGCTCTCTCGTCTCGTCCCGACCTGGACCCCAGTCACGCGACCCGGCCCGGCCCGACCAAGTCCGAAGGCTTGTGAGGCAGGAGCGGTGAGCCGTAGGATCTCATAGCGTAACTGAAGATTTCGTCTTTTTCTCTTCGTCTCGACGGACCGGAAGTCTCCACGTGGCGGGCGCTCACGCCCCGCTCAGGGTACATGTGCACCAACCGCGACGCGACGCTCTGTCGGATGATGACGACGATGGACTTCACGTCGGGCGATCCCTCGAAGTTCGCAAGCTGCGACCGGCGATTTGTACTTCCGAAGAAGGACGGGTCTTAAGCAATAATGCGCGCGCCGTAATCTGACTGCCTGCGGGGCAGGTGCAGGGATTTGACCGAAAGCAGTCGGTCGCCATGATTGCCAGGCTCCTTTGGCCATTGAGCGGTCCAGCTTCGGGGGGTCGATAATCCGACCTCCGAGTCGCAGATTCAAATCCGCTTTCTGGCAGGAAGAACTCAGGGACGGCATCGGTCTTTCAGCGACTACGGGCATCGCACCTCGAAATCAGCGCTCGGAAATTATATCCCAGAGAAGACTTTCTTAGTGAAGCGTAACTTTCTTTTGATCTTTGCCTTTGGAGAGTAATCGGGAGCTTTTTTTCCTATGACTCGTGTTCGTGACTGACCGTGGTGAACTGTAAAACGCTCCACGAATTATTCATCGTTGCAGTACTGAAAGTGAATGATTCGAAGTTGGATTCGAAGCGAGAAAGGTGGTTTGAGGCGTCATGTGTGATAGAGCTTCCACTAGGTGTTGTCAGGTACGTGAAGTGTGTATGCACGGGATACGCAGCATGCTGATCATGATCGGAACACATACAATGGCAAGCGTGATGTTTTCTTTGACAGATCTGCCTCCCTGGCAGCAAGCTAGACAGAACTGTTCAAAATGTCTTGAACAGAGCTGCCTAGGCAGACCTGTACACCACTTTCTGCAGCCAATCTAGTAGACTTTTTTTAAGCAGTGTGATTATGAAGAAGCCAAACCCCCCGTCCGGAAGTGAAGCACAAACAGAAGCTTACTCAGTCACAGCTTGAATTAAGAAACCCGAAACACAGACATTACAACCCCGTAGTTTGGACATCCTGCCTTAATGTATTCTTTCGAGTAGCCTACTGCTCCGAGAGAAAATCACATGGATGTCTGCGCAATCTATCCATCGCATTCAGAAAAGCCAACCCTCAATGAAACAAGTTATGCGGCCAGGTGTTTGCTGAAGACTTGTCAAAAAAGGTTCCGGAAGATTGTCTCCGAGTTCACAGAGCAGTATGTACAATCATAACATCAAAACTGATAGATTAATCAGTCCGCTCTCCCGTTTGAAAGTCAGTGTATTCAACCTCTATATGATCTGCCTCCTCTGCTGGAAGTTCTGCGTCATACGCTGCCTCTGTATCGGGAATAATATCAGCTATCTCAGCCTTCCAGCAAAAGCCTTTCAATCTATCCAAAAGTTGGACTACTCTATCCTCGATCCTCTTGAGAGGACTCAATCCTGCTGCTGGTGTTACAGCAATTTCTCCCTTGGTTGTTATATCAGGAGATTGAGCGACGGGACACGTAGAAGACAAGGTGTCTTCTCTCTTCCTCTTGAATTCTTTTGCCCACTCTGGAAGGTCTAGAACTTTGAATTCCTCGGAAGAAGTTGCAGTTATCTGCGGTGTGCTATGTAGAACCTCGGATTCGATAGGCGCAGAGGAAATTCTATCGCCGGTGCCTTTGGAGTCGATTGCCTTCGCTACAACGCCTAGCCGAGGCCGCTTCGAAGGTTTTGAATAAGAACTGGAAACAGCACTGGAATTTGCATCGGGTTTGGCCTTCACCACCGCAGTCTCTTTGACTTCAGGAGCCGCTCTCCTAATTTTATGTTCGTCTTGTTTCGGAGCTGCAGCAACAGAAGGTCTGGACTCTGAGTGCCACTTCACGTCCGAGCTCCCTCTTGCTGCGGTTTTCGACCTCTTCGGTTTGGTCTCTTCCTGTCTGGTTGCCCCAAAGACAAAAGGCTGAGTCGGAGCTGGTTTGGAGTCCCATCTCGACTTGACTGATATTCCAGCATTTGTTGCTGAAGTATCTAACCTTTTGGCCTTGCTTTCCTCTAGCCTTGCTTTCTCAAAAACTGACCCCTGTTCGATAGCAACATTGTCGCCAAACGTCACTTTCACTATGTACCTTTGCTTCGGAGGAGTATCTGGCCTTTCCGGTTCACTTCCCTCCTGTTGTTCATACTCAAAGTTAGTGTCTTCGCCCATATGCTCATTACCTGCGTCGACACAGCTAGCTTCCTCCTTCCCCGAATTGTCAACATTCTCAGGTATGTGTTCTTCTTCCACCTTTGCTGACTTCAAAGCACAGTCGCTCGACGACAATGACACTGCCTGATGTGAACTACGAGAACTTCTGGAATCGCTTCCACCCTGCTCAAGTGCGTCGGAGTCCCAGGTGCGTGAAACACGCGACCGATTCTTGCCTCCACTCTTCTCCTTGACAGCGATTTCTACCGGAATGGCTGGAACGTCACATGACCCAGTTCCACTTCCATCTGGTTGAAGCGCTCCAGTAGCTGCAGCAGCAGAGCTGTCAAGAGCTTTAACTTCAGTCTTCTCGGTCGCAGCCTTCTTCAGATTGGCCAAAGACACTGATCTCCCCCGTCTACCTTCTGTTTGTGGACATTGTCCAGAAGCCGACCTCGAGGACAATCCAGGTTTTTCTTCTGACTTCTGCTTCACGGGACCTCCGACACCCTTTGTTGTAGCACCTAATTTTCCGGACTTGCTTTCTTCTCGCTTAAGTGTTCCTGATGATTCTTTGGCAGAAGGATTCTGGCCGACAGCGCCTACTACGGTAACTGTGTCAAGAATTGGATCACTTTCAGCCTGCTCGAACAATCTCGCACCGCGTAACGGCGCAGTTGCGGGATCCTCTTTCTCTTTCGCTTCCTCGGGTTCATCTGAGGACCGGGATGTAACACTCTCTTTTTTCTTGTTGCCTCTTCTTAAAAACGGGGTGTTGTTAAATAGAACCGCGTTGCCATTCTCGCCTTTGCTTTTCGCAGCAGAAACTTTGGAAGGGGTAACTTGAAAAAGATCGTTATCAGCCTCCTTATTCACGTTGACATCGGAGAGGGGAACTCGCTTCTTCTGCATGAGATACACGGGGACACACAGGACCTTGTCAGCAAACGTCCAGAGTTCAGAGAAGTTTACTATTCTTCGTCGTCCCTCGGGCACTCAAGAGAACAAGCGACCCGCGAGTTCTTCCAGGACTCCGGCTCCATGCACATGACAAACTCGAGTTCCAGGCCCATGAAAAGCATACTATTACATACATGGGTTCTCACTTCTTTATGAGCATATCACGTCTTCGTGTAGAACCGAAAGACTGGAATTGTACAGAACTCTGCTCCCATTACGAAGTAGACGCTACATGTGTAATTTGAGGATAAACTGCTGACAGAAAGGTAATCCAGAACGACTGAAACATGCAACTCCAACTATATTTTGAAAGTGAGTCATAGAAAGCACGACGGTACGAGAGCTACGGTCGTCCCGATAAAACCTCGAGAAAAACATTCTGCTGGACGCGTAACAAGCTACCGTTCTAATTTCCTATAAAGACTTCTATGCTCACCGGGAGCTGGTGCAACGAACCGACAAATGCATTAGTCCAGCGAAGAGTAAAATCATGCCAGACTTACAGCGAGAGCCTCCGCCATGAAAACGTTGGTCTTGTTCGCAGGTATTCCATGTTTTTTGCAGAGCAATTGGAGGTCCTTGCGGGGAAGCGTATGGTAATCCATATCGGCATCAAGCTCGCAAAACCTTCAGTCCCGAACTGCACAGAAACGGCCTGGTCATGTATAATATTATCTCCCGAACCCCGCGGACCCGATGCTCCCGACTCCAACTCTCCCGGCCTTGAATTCCCTCCTCCACTCAGAAATCCGTACGCCCGATCTCCGGCCGAACGACCCACACGACGAAATCGCAGCAACACCAAAAGTGTGCGCGCAAGGACTGCACTCCACTACCTACTCCGAGGATCTCCACGACCGCCACTCGACAGCCTTGAAGAAACGACGCATTGCAATGCGGCGGTGCAGCATCTGCCGCGAGCTCAAGCCCAAGCGCAATCTCAAGCCCAAGCTCAAGCTCGCGCTCGCGGGGCCTCGGCCGGTCCTCGTCCTAAGACGACGCTTCCCTCTCACGCTCGAGAGCGGCCTGACTCGCGGGGTCGTTCGAAAATATGAACGTTGCAGGGGGCGCGTCCGGACTCATTGGCGCTTCTCCGAGACCGGCCGGGGGCTAGTTTAGCAGGCCTCCTCCGCCCGAGGGGAAGAAGATGCCTCCATGGTTTCCGACGGACAGAGAATCTGTCGAGAACTCTGCGGACGTCCGTCCGTCCCTCCGGCGCGCGAGCTCTTCGGACCGTAGCTACCGCGTTCGTTGCGTTTGCTGCTACCGTGCTCCCTCCTATCGCTCGCTCGTGCCGTCGAATACTTGGGTTTCCGCTTCAGTTTTGGTGGGAGCACCCACTTCTTTCTAATATACTCCATTTGAAACATATTCGTAAATACGAAGACCCTTTTTTAGTCAAAAGAACACTATGCGGAAAAGCCACTATACATGTGGCATTCAGTAAAATAAATATTATTATGTTATTATATATATAATAAAAATAATATTATCTTATATAATTATGTAAAAAATTCTATTCGAACTGCATGCATACATGTTATGAATTTTTTAAATAAATGAAAACGATGAGAAGAAGCCACTAGACATGTGGCTTTCAGTTTAATAAATCTTCAATCTTTAGATTTTGTAAGGTACACATTTCAAAATATATTCAATAATATGATGACTTTTTAGTTAAGTGACAACTATGCGGAGAACCCGCTAAACGTGTGGCTTTCAGTTAAATGAATCTTATATCTTTAGATGATTTTGTAAAATAACCTATTCGAAATGTATCCATAACTAAGATGACTCTGTTTTAAATAAGTGACAACTATGCGGAAAAGCCGCTAAACATATGGCTTTCAGTATAATAAATCTTGTTTTTTTAGAAAATTCTGTAGCTCCTAAAGAACTAATGTTATCATTTGGTGAGTCACTTTATCAAACTAACTATGTGACTCTTTACAAGGTGAGGATAGTGTAATGCTTCGAAATTTCCATCAAGATATATTGGGGAAACATGTTTTCCAAGAATGTGCAAGCAAACAACAAGAGGGTTTGGAGAGGACGATACTATAGAATGGTGTATCTGTCTTTGGCGCTTGTTCCATAATGGTTTCGTTGACTCCTGCGAAGCATAAATATCCATTGGAGTCATCCTCATCATAGGTTGATGGAAGTTTATGACACGACTAGCAGATCTGCTAGGAGATTTACGAGAAAGCACACCTGAGGCTCCAATGTGGAGGCCGTGTGACAACCTCTGAGGAGAAAAAAGAAGAAGCAAAATATCAAAAGGCAAAGGGTATGGTCCTAAGATGAAGGTGACCATAAAATAAGTGATTGTAGAAATTTTGTCCCCAATTTTCAAACTTGATTGCAAATGAGAAACCGCCATGGTGAGATGTCTATGGACTACATGGTTGGGATCCTCAACGGCAACGGCATCTCTCAAGACACTAGTGTCTTTGAGAGGATGACGGTGAAAAGTATGCTTGAACCTGAAAACCTTGTCATCGAGAGGTCAATTGCAATCGCTGACGATGGATCTCGAGTAAATGGGTTCTAACTATGGTGACTTCTTGATAATTCATCGATTGAAAAGCATGAAATGTTAACGAGACGATGTCCACGAAAGAGATTATGTCCATGAAAGAGATTATGAATGGAGATGGATATGGAGCTGGTGAGATCACCATAAAGGCATGCATTGTTGTGGACAAAGACAAGATTATAAGCCTCTAAATACAAGATTAATATATGTTGGCATCACACTCTTGAAAGATTCTCACAGTGAGATAAAGAAATGTGTTCCTACTCATCTCACCACCAGCGAATTACAGGAGAAAAAAAAGTGCATAGTAGAAGAAAAAAAAGGGATCGGAAGGTCTATAAGGCTTGCAAGGATGATACAAAATAGGAACATGGGCCAAGCTCCAATAGTAGCACAATATAAAACATGTCATACATTACTAAAGTCATCCAAACTATTTAGATCAAGCTTTTTTTTTTTTAACATGAGCATTTGACTCCTCATCACTTGAAAGTGATTGCTATCTGTATATGGCAGTAGCTACTGCTCTTTGTATAAAAAAAAAACTCCTGGAATAAATAAACTAACCTAACTTTAAAAAAATATATCATTGTCATCTCCTATGATAGGCTTTAACAACATGTTGAAATTTTAACGTATAGCTTTAAATAATTCCAATCCTAGAGTAAGAAAGTATTGATCCTACACAAGAAGACGATGGTTGTTACTCATTAGGTTTCTTCTATCCCCAAGGATAGATTACCAATCACAAACAAGACATGTGTATAATGTAGGGAGGGGTTAGATATACCTCAATTTAGGCTACTTATCTCTCATCTTATTATATTTAATAGAGTTCTGCAAGTGATAAATTTAAATAAAATGGAATACTATGACTTGTATCGTGACATTCTATCATCCCTTATGCTATTTCGATTTCACCCATTTCTGCACTTCCATTACAAGTGTCTTGTTCAAATGGCTCATGAGACAAAAGCTCATTCGAATGCGCTTCGGATTGAATGTTCATCCAAGCACTAATGCCGGATTCGATCCATAGAGTGGTGGAATGATCTTCTCATACTCAATGTTAGAGAGTGAGGAATTCATGAGTTCACTGCAAATGTAATGGTGACGTTTTCCCATTTCACACATTCGAAATCAGACGGGGTATCCCGCGAAGACTACATCCCATGTCTTGTCATTGCATGGTATAGAAATAATTTTTGTTTCGTTCTCGAAAATGATTAACTTCTCTTACTTATAGTATAGTAGTGTGAGTATAATTAGCCTAAATTGAATATTAACTAAAATTCCGATAATATATATACTATGTTTCTACAATTTAACTTGTTAAAGGATTATACACATTGCGTATTTACACTATGAACATTAAGTGTACACTCCACCAACGACAGCGTAGACGACCAAATTCTAAAGATTTTGAAACCCTTTGGGAACAAAAAGGGCCTCGTCTAAAATAAAACCTGCTACCCCGTAGAATCTAGACGACTGTACGTAACCGTTAGGCGCAGCATGCCCGGGAATTTGTCGTGTTCGCTGGACGCAGTTACTTGCCGAGCCTCAAGGCTCGTGACGTCATGGCAATGGCTCAGTACAGTATACGGGCGTCCTTCGTGCAGAGCAGTACGTACCGAGCAGAGCAGGCGCAGCTGTCCCAAGCCCTGCACGGTCGGTCGGCGTGTCCTGCCATTTCGCACGCAGCTGCGACCTTGGCTCTTTCTCGTGTGCTTGCTCCTTCCGATTCGACGCGTGTCGCATACTTCCTTCCTTTCGATGATGGCCTGTTCTCTCGTCATCTGGGGACTTGGTAGTCGAACTGCACGTCCTCTACGTAGAACCCAGGGAGTGTGAATTACTGGACCTAAAGAAATTTGCATGGTCAAAATAGTATAATGAAACACGGGAATTGATGTCAATGAATGATCTCCTCATCGAGTGTCGAAGAACGAGAACTCTTCACAAGTAGATTCACGCATCGAAGCGAGACAAGTTGTGAGGTTCCGTGAGTTCCTTGAGTTTTGGGTTCAATTTAACTTTGACTCCTTCGTTTCCATCCTTACTTTTCATGTTTGAATGTAATGATACACCATTTGCAACATGTCTTGACATGACTCAAGACACATTCACCTTACATGACATAGCTAGTTATTATGCCAATAGGAATATGGTATTTCCAATGACAATTGAGTGTGACTATCCAACATGAAGGAATAGTTTGAAAGCATAGAGAGATCTATTTCTGTTTAGAGAGATCAGGTTTTTGATGCAAATCTGATGATTACAAATCCTACATGCAACACAGTTCCATGGATGATATTTTCTCGGTGGCGTATGAAGCAACCACATTTAAAGTTTTCAAACCACTTTTTAAAAAAATAATAGATTTACTTAGAGTCCACATCTTTGTTGAGTTAGCAAATGGAGTTATATAAAGTTACGGACATGACCTTTGAGATATTTCTTGAATATTTCAAGAAATATCACGCTGGAGAGATGTTATCCTATTTTCATTCATCCTATGTTAAACAAAGTTTTTAGATTCAATAAATATAACACCCCAAATTGCCATACATAGAACAACATTCACATGAATGGATGTATCGGGTATTTTTCTGGTATTTAGATCATTTGATCTAGGAGATGAATCCTTTTTACTTCATACTCGCTCAATTTTTTATGATCTACTTGCCATCCCTTTCCATGTTCTAGTGCTTGCTTGCTTTACTCCTTGGCAGTTGCGCTTTACTCCTTGGCAGTTGCGTGGTGCTATTAGTTTGACTTGTAGCGTTAGGGATGCAGATTTTTCTGCATTTGAGCTTCCTTGGAAGTGAGAACTAACTTCTGTTGTGAACAATCCACCCTAATCTTGAAAATGTCACCCTTGTTAATAGAACACCTTGATATTGTCACCTAAAAGTTTGAAACCGATTTTCCTAGTGTAAAACTACCTTGTTATTATCACTATCACCCTTGATAATGTCACTATTTTTTTCCAAAAGCTCTAGTGTAAGTGTGATAATATCAAGTATGGATGGATTGTATGTGACAGTTGGATGAACATGACATGCCAAAAAGGTCATGATCTGCCACTGTGATAAATGAAATGCTATTCAGAGAGTCATGAGCCGCCCCCTTGCACCAACCTTAAACAATGTTGATGATTCAAAATTTCACTTTCGTGGCCATTTGCTGCGTCAACATTGTGTCTTTTCCGTTTATCTAAGGTATGAGTACTCACACTGCATTGCAGTCAAAGAAAGACGTAGTGTTTCACAATCGTAGAAAATTGTCATTGCTTAGGTACTTGTTTTGTTACATCTTGTTGTTGCTTTGATCTTACACAAAATTAAGAGGGAGTTTTTGATGGCGCTTGTTTCCATCAGCAGTGTTCGAACTTGCTTCACTCCAGGCACTTGCAGTCGGAGCAACAAGAAGTCAAACTTGAGCGAACATGCACCTTCAGCATCTGAAGGCCCTGCGTGAACAGACACACTATCGCAACTACACGAGGTGAGGGCTAAAGCCCACTCTCAACTCTAACTTATTATGTGTCCCATTTGTGCGAGGAATTTCAGTCATATTTCGGATCATGAGCATGGTGGGAGCACATCACTAAGATGTTATCAGAATTGATGATGTTGATAGTTTTGGTTTCTGTTATTTCTGGTGGGCTTAATCTAGTTTGAAGTTCGTGGTTTCAAGTTCGTTTCTTTAATGTGGGAGTTCGGTTCTTTTGTGAAGATGGCTGTTTGAAATATGATTATGGGAGTGAGTGTGCTTGTGGATGAGTAGGAGTGTTGTATGGTTTTGATTCCTATTTTTTTGCTGTGCTTGGTGATTTTAATTCAGTTTAAAGTTTCATGTTTCAGAATTTTTGGGAGAGTGTGAGTCGATGTGTTTTGTGGAGATCGCTTTGGTGGTCTTTTGAGCATCAGCATGCTGGTGCATTTGTAGGAGGTTGGCCTCAGTTCTAAGTTTTCAATTTTGGTAGGCCAATCGAAAAGTATATCAAAGTCCTCGTAGTCATACACTTGCATTTATCTAGACAACAAGCGATCAAACCTCAGCATCTACAGTGTGTTACCTGTTTTGGTTGCATTAACTGTTTTGGTTAAATTTGTGATGACACATGAATAAAGTTGTTCGAATGCATCAATTTTGTTCAATTATCATGATGACTTATATTGAGTGCTCATTTTGTGGAATGGTTTGAGAGATATAGGTACTTTCAATGGCAAGTAAGTCCACGCGCAAAAGAGTGAATTTATCAACTTTTGATAAAAAAATAATCTGTGAAGTCCACAAAGCTCATACTAGTTTGAAAGAATAAGACCTTGCACAATATATGGTGGACCAACATAAATTCAGGCTTGTGGATCAGATCACTAATTTTAAGATGCTTCGTGGAAAAGAGAAGTGGCCGAGTGTGGATACATCTATGCGTGAAGGTAATGTGCGACGTGCTCGAGTTGGAAAATGGCCTCAACTTGAAAAAGCTTTGATTTTATGGTTTGAACAAGTTAGGGCACGAAGGGGAGTTGTAACTGATGACGTGATTATGCACAATGCTATGGAATTAAGAGATTAATTTGGCATATGCGACACTGAATTCAAACTTTCTTATGGATGGTTGCAAAATTTCAAAACTCGACATGGAATTAAGTGTTATTGTTTGCATGAAGAAAGTGGAGATGCAGATGAGATTGAAGTTGCATTGGTCATGGCAAAGATACCATTCATATTGAAGAAATATGATCCAGAAGACATCTCAATTTTGATGAGACATGTTTGTATTACAAAGACTCTCCTAGCAAAACTTTGAATATTGTGAAGTCAAAAGGAAATAAGAAGAAGAAGGAACGTGTGACATTGGGACTTTGCACTTAACATCTCAGGGAATGAGCGATTGAAGCTTAGAAAATTCCAAGCTTTTTTTCATTCACAAATCAGCACGTCCCATATGTTTTTCTCGGAAGTTTGATACAAATGTTATAGTACATTATTATTCTAACAATTCAAATTGGATGAATGATGATGTTTTTACACATTGGATGAAGAGTGAGAATTGAAGAATGACATTGCAAGATAGAAAGATTTTCATTATTATGAATAATGCAGGAAGCTATAGAATTTATGGTGAGGTCAAGAAAGTTATAAATGTATTTTATGCTTTTTTAGTCTCCCATATCACTATCTTGTTTCCTCCACCAAATGCAACTTCAATTGTTCAGCTTTTGGATAGCTTGAATTTGGCAATCTCATCGCCGCATTGAATTTGAATGTCGAAGTTAAAGATGAATATTGGTGAGGAGCTTGTGCAATTAGTGCAAGATGACGAAGAGTTACTTGATTCAATGAAAGAATACTCAATGATGGTTGATAGCATTGATGATGAATATAAAATAATGAAACTAAACAAATCACAGAAATATGATAAAGATCTTTTGAATTTTATGGCTAGCCACGGTTGTCAGATTTTCAACACTCAAGAATTTTTAGTAATGGAAAAAATCCATGACAAATTCATTAGAATTGGTGTTGTACATTTAACATCACTAAAACAATATGACATTAGAATCTTTTTTGTTTCTAGCGAAAAATCTCTACCAAATTTCAATGATACATTATGATGTGTTCTTGTTGTCATTCATTGTTTTGAATTACAATTCACATTCAAAAACTTTGAAACTTTCTATTAGTTATTTTCTTTTTTATATTGTAATTTTATTTTGAATTTTCAACCATTTTCTTGATAATATCACATTATACACAAATCTTCAAATATACACATTATCAAAAATGTCACACTTTGTTTATATCACGACGGAGTGTGTTATATTATCAAGGTTAGAGTGTATACTCAAAGTGTGCGACATGCATGTGTGAAAATATAGTACTTTTTCTCCAGAAGGGTGCTTCTTTACCGCACTTTTAGTTGTAGTATCTCGTGGACGCACAAAGAAGTGGGACTAGTTCTCAAGACAGGATGGCTAACGCATATTCATACGAAGTGCTCTGGCGACTTTACCAAAGCAAGAGATTTTTCCAAACGAGTCACACAGGACGAAATGAGCCAATTGATTGCAAATGTCAACCCACATGTTGCTCGACTTTCAACGACCAAAAATTGATGTACCAAGTTTCAACGCGCAAAAATTAGCAGAGTGAAATAAGCTCTCCCTGGTTTTACTTCCGTGAGCCATGTGCTTTCATATACATGTGTCGTCTGTCTGATACTTTGCTCCACAAATGGAGATGTAATCTACCGTTTCAGCGGGGCACTGAAGACTAATAAGTAAGATGAGTAATGTAGCGGTGAGGTATTGTTAAGCTGCATCTACAATGTGTAGAGTTCATTTTTTGGTTAAGACAACGGAAAGTTAATGAATGAAAATAGAAAAAAAAGTGGTCAGAGTTTTACAAAGTCGCTGTTGGTAGACTCCCAAATAACAGTGCCATCACAGCTACATAATTTCTTGTAATTTTGACCGACACCTGCACTCCGCGCTATCACAGCAGCAGTTATCGCTTCCTTCGATTTGTCTTCACTCTCGTAGATGACAACTGCTCGTCCTATAAGATCATACACTTGCAGACCCATTTTCTTTCCAGTGTATTCGGCAGCTCCATCGCTGCCAACTTCTAATATTCCCAACTCACCCATGATCTGAGAAAAAAAAAATAAGACTAGGTCAGAACAGACCCCTGGGAGTACCACCGCGGCGAATAATAGTCCAAGGCGTGCGTAAACAGCTGCGCGCTCGCCTTAACGGTTGAGCTTAAAAAGAGAAAGTAAAAAGGTTAACAATTAGAGTTGAGGTGCAATGGACAGCTGCCGAGTACTAGATACGAAATCCTATCGAAGACATATACCGTCAAAAAAATTAGTTCCTCTCACATGACATTAGTTTCTACTTGCAGGAGTTTATACGTCAACTGAGACTGGCACAAACCTCGGTAGTAGAAGCTGCTGAATGTGCAGAATCTGGCCTGTAAATACCACCAGTGCTCGCAGCACCTTGCGTGAGATCTCCATACATGTTTATCGACCAGCCATGCGGCCCAGGTGTTAATCCGCTGAAGCTTGCCTCAATCCTGGACATCTCCATGCTCACCTGGGCAAATCTGACCACACCATGGATCTGAGGACCCTTAAACTCTGCCACAGCTGCTGAAACAGAAAACTCTGCAGTAAAAGAGTTAAAAAAAGTGGGATTAGAACAAGCAACTGCATAGACCAAGTACACATACACTGAAGATGAAACCATACCGCGAAACGCATACATCTCAACAAATCCTTCGATCAACATAACCAACCATGCCTAGGGGAAATGTAGCTCCACTTTTCTACAGCATCCATACCAAATTTTAGTCAACATCCAATATAAGTGAATCCTGAACAAAGACATACTCTCTCACTACAGCGCAGTATAATAAAGAAAGTAGGTCAAAAGAGCCGGAAGCCTTTAAAAGAACGTGCAGATAAAAAATCGAAGATCATACCAGAAGGTACGCCCTGACCAATTAATCGCACATGACGCCCACTTTGCTCGATGGCTGTAGTTAAGTTCTTTACGGTAGCTGACCCAAGAATTCTTACCACTTGATTTGCAAGATCGACTTCAACCGCCTTCACCCCTGAAAACATGAAAAACTCGATGAATTAAGGTACTAGTATGAATTTTGGAGTACTCCGAAACTCGTATGAGAAATATTGGGCAACCCACAGGCAGCACTGAGGAGAAAGGATGCCTATAAACGTTTATGTCTCTCAAGGAGCTTAGGAACCTACACGGCCGACCTGGTGACGTGAAGAAAATGCGCGAGCAAATGCCTCATCCAATATAATAAACTGCTGCGAACAAGATTTCAATCGACTCTTAAACTTATACTTGAAAAAGTCCTGATCTGAACGCAATGTACAAGATCATTCTCTCAACGATGGAACTAATAAAATTAAATTCATCATTTGCAGTATTCTTAATAGTTTGAAACCAGGTTAATACCTTCCAGTGGTTCAATCTTGTTGCGTACGGTTGTTACACATCCCTCACATTTCATATCCACCATGAATTCTGTCTGTCACCAATCCAGTCATTTACATCAAAGCAAGTACTAATCACAATTTTATGACTATGCAGCAGGCAATTTATTCGTAACCAACAATAGAAGTCAATCAAGATACTCCAAATCAGTCCGACATGCAAAAGCCTGAGTTGAAATGCATGCTAGAGATCATCCTCCGAATACCCGTTTAGAGAAATTTGATCATTCAGAGATCAGGTTTCGAACTCACCAGAAGGTCGGGAAGTGCAGCCCCAACATTCTGCAAGGTTCAGTAAACAAAAGGTCATTCGGGTGCTTTGAGCTGAAAATGAGATAAACCAAAATCAGCAGCAAACCTAATCCAACTTGGTGCATAACTAGCTCTAATTAAATAGAAGTTGAAGGTGCAGTCCCAGCCCTGTAAGGATACACAGGTGTCCAATCAAAAGTTCGAAATATGTTTCCAGGAACAACTACGGTTAAGTCGTGTGCATGACCAAATTAATTCATCGAATGAGGAAGAAGGCTAAGGAGGGAAAAAACTGGAACTCTCAACGCTGACAATCTCCTTTCAGTTAGAGCGAGCTTGGAAGAATATGGAAACTGCTGACTAGCGCGATTACGCATGACTACTGCAAACGCAGAGTACCTTCACCAATTCATTGTGAATCTCCATATTGTGCTAGAAAGGCCAGGTTCCTATTGCCGGCAAGTAGAAACGAATTGTCCGCGAGAAATTCCGCAAGAGAAGATTTCGTAAAAACACACTTTCGTAAGACAGTCCTAGCGAACGCTTCTAGAGAAATTTGGGCTGCCTTTGGCCCGATCACTCTCACTAACGCGAAACGAATTCCAATATTTCCACACGATCAGAATCAAGAAGCAGGCGGGCCTTAAACCTTCCACATAATTTACCCGGAAACTTGCGACCCATCGCTCAAGCCCAAGTCTTCTGAAAAAAATAATTTCTGGGCGTAAACTAAATTTCTCGCCTGCAAAAAACTGAATTTCTCGCCAGCTAGCCGAAACCCGACAGTACACAGTCTAGTACATGCAGTGCAGTACGAGGAATCCAAGATGAACAAAAAAAGACCTTCGCCTCAAGAGCGATCATCCCATCCACATCCACATCCAGAATCTCGCGCAACCCCGTGAAGGCGACATGAGAAATGCGCGAGAGAGAGAACAAACTCAAACCTTCTCTTCCTCGGCTGCACTGGCAGGGACGGCGTCTGCGACGGCCATGGTCATTCGCTCCGACCCGAGAGCCAGACCTCCGACTCCCAAACAACCCAAAGCGGACCCAAGCACTCCTCCTCCTCCTCCTCCTGCCGAACCCCTGCTGCTGCTGCTGCTGCTGCAGTGGCTGCTCGACTTGCACCAAGAACTCCCAAACTCCAGCGAAAGCCTCTGGGGCGCGAACGAGGTCCTAGCTCCTGCTGCTGCTGCTGCTGCGGAAGCAACACGTAGCAACAGACACTGCAAGCTCAGGGATCTGAAACATGCCATGGGCGAAAAGGCTACAAACCCGACCACTTCTGCCTCTCCCTCGCTCGGCTTCGTCATTTCCTCTGCCTTTCTACGACGAGCCTGGTCAGCACCGACCCCACCCACCTTCTTATTTCTGCCCCACTTCTGCATAATTCCTGCGTCTGCCGGTCAACTTCCGCTGCCATTTCCACTGTCGTGCACCTTCTCGGGCAATTTCTCGGACCCGGGCCTTCGGTTTTATCCATGGCCTCCATTCAATGCCTGGGAGCTGGAAAATGAATTGACGCGTGGTGCTATTCTTCTCATGAGCTTGGTGGCAGCGAGGGAGTTTTAATCGGTGGATTAATTCTTCTTATATTGTGGGACTCCATTTATGCCAAGAGTAGAGAGTTTCATGATTTTTATCTTCATTTCAATTTAGGTGAATTGGTAACTGCATTGTATCCAGATGCAATGGTAAGATGTCTTGAGAGATATTCCAAACACTGTAACATGCGTTTGTGTTATTATTTCAATGATTGGTTGTGTTTGTTCTTAGATGGACTGTTGTAGATATATGGATAGAAGGGTTTTGATGTGAGGATGTTATTAGTAACCATTTCCACGGATAAGATGTTGCTTTAGAAGTTGTGGCTTTTCACGTCGTGAGATATACATGACCGTTTGCCTATCGTAAAAAGACAAATGTCTTTGTACTGGCTTCAGCTTCAATTGCTCTCAATTATACTCGTTCATGATTAAAAACGCATAGTAAGGAAACTGCATGAAAGTGATGATTGGAGTGTCTGAGATGCACAATGGGGAAGCCGATCACATTGGCTTTTTAAATTTCGGAAGGATGTCTTTGTTTTGAGTGATCGACATCTTCACTCCGCCCAAACTCTGATATAACCTCGTCCAACTCGTTCTGCCCTACCTGAACCTTTGTCACTTGCAATACTTCCATTTGCGTTGGGCCACTAGTAATATATCTGCCATTGACTTAGAATCAATTTTTTCATCTCGGACTAGCACTTTTGTCCTCTACATGCGTTAATTGTCCCCTCCTCGGATACATTTGCACTAGGAAGAATGATATGTAAATCGTACTTATTAATGCATACGTATTCCCTATACCCTCGTCCCGAAGTTCTCTCTCATGACTTTAACATCGAGGGCAAAGATCTCACGACAGTTGACATTAGCCATCTCCATCGCAAAACATTCAATACCTCTAATCTTGTGCACGGCGAGAAACTCACTTCTAGCGGCAAGTCAATATCAAACAAATCTTTTAGTAAAATGTTAAAGTTAAAGAAGCCTCTTCGGAAGAGTTTTTGTGTCGTCAAGCAGCCTGCCATTTAAGAGGAGGGAGCACTATCTCCTGTCAATCTCGCAAGACAATTTCTCTTGGATATAGGTGCAAAAGTAATAAATACCTTTAATATTCTCTATCGGGCAGCGGCTTCAAGCCATGTAAGAGGGGATTCTATAAACATTGTCAGCGCAATCACCTAATTTTCTGGTTGGCAAAAGATGCATACGTTAATGTAAAATTTGACTTAACGAGATGAATCTTTGAAAAAAAATTAAGCAAAAAAAAACCTGTCCGCAAAAACCTCCTGATGGCATTTTTTATTATTAAAAAATAACACTTTAGCCAAAAAATTTATCTAAAAATTATGAAACAGTTATATTGTGATTGTGTTTAGATATATCTTGTTATGTACACAGTTTATATACTACTCACTCAAGATTTACAAACGTTCGGAATATCACTTCAATAGCTTCTCATAAAACTTTAAACATAACAATCTGAAATACTTTCAATTCAACTTATTAATTTTATATTAAAAATATTTACCTTTAATTATCTAATGAACGCATCGATAAGAAAAATTCAAAGAGAATATAAATTTAACATTTATTTATTTGGAATAATAAAATAAAATAATTCTTCACTTTGAAAAATAATATTAAATTTTTTTCATTTTTTACAAAATGCAGGACAAGCATTATCAATTATTAATAGATTTGATCTGATTTGATTTAATTTTTCTCATCATCAAATGTGTTATTCATCATTTTTTGATTTATTCAAAGTTTTCGAATATCAAAAAATATTTCTTAAAATTTTAAATAATCTAAATAATTTACTAAATTAGTTCATATAAATTAAAGTGCTGTGTTCAGTTTAATACTTTTAAAATGTTTCAAGTTTCAAAAAATATATGCATATAATGGAATATAGTAAGGTTTGGAAAATCACTTGACCTTATAAAAGCTACATGATTTTCCAAACCTTTTGATATGAATTCTAAACTAAAAAACATAATAATGAAAATATTAAAATATTAACATATAAATCTGTTATAACTCAAGGTATCTATCAGATATTATTTGCATTTTTATCATCCATTTAACTATAACGTCAAAATCATCGGTTCACCACTTAAACTAAAACTCAGACTTTCCATTTACAGTTTTATGTATATATTTTGCATGATAATCGTATTGTTACGTTTTTATAACATAAGAATAATACATCTATACACACAGTAACGTAAATGTATCGTCGAATTTAAGATTGTAACACAAGAACCGTAAATATTTACTTTGTGTTTTGAAATCCGTAGATGTTTACATTTTTTTCATCTATCATATTCACAATTCAAAAATTTAACTTCAGATATTGATAAAATTAATTTTTTTTATCAAAACATCTCAATAACAACTTAATCCTTTGAATCTAATTGTTTTGACTAGAATGTTGACTTGCAAAAATTGATTATAACTGTTAGATTTAATTTATTTAAAATCTGGTAATGTATGTCACTAGGATAATTTTTTATTTTACATAAATAATGTTTGAGATTCAACTGCAATGACTTTGTGGATATTTTTTCATTGAATTCACAGAATATTATGATGATAAAATGTTGGAGAATATGATTTATAACTTGAAACTCAATATAAGTGAAACACATATCACAAGATTATGTAAGTTATGTGGACAATAATGTAAAAGTCGTTTCTATTGTAATATTCATGTTTAATATATAAATTATAAATTATATAGGATGTTATTCCGTAGGAAGTATTTGTCTTCAATAAACGAGTGAAAGTTGGGTGGGAAAAGTAGGGAAGATTGCATGCACGGGAGGCGTCCCAGAGGAAATCTGCTTTCATTCAGCGGTACCCGACCGTGACTTTGTATGCACATGATGAGCCTACCTGAAGCTACCGAGCGGGCTTGCTTGCAGGCGAGAAGAGCATGAAGCCTAGCAACAAGCTAGACGACGAAGGACGACGAAGCACGGCCAAGGACGGAGCGTGCAATATTCTACTTCACGCCAAAGACTGGGCCAGGTCACCGTCCTTTGTCTCTTTCCGCAAATCATCCGCGCTCATCGAAGCCCCAAAAGGGTTTCCTTTCCACCGCCTTCCACCGGCACCGACCGGCCATCTCCCGTCGCCTCCAACCGGACCCTGCCCATGTTGGAGCATGCTTCGCACTGTCACTAACCTGCCAGCCTATCCTAACACTTCCGACTCACGACCGCCGAGAATAACTCACCGGCCATACCTCCCAGACGTCCACCCCTCATCTCATCAGGATAATCTACAGCTTTTAAACACTAAATTACTTCATTTGCATCACCGCTAATCCCGTACTTTAATTTCGACCGTAAAGCCTCTTACGATGCACTTTTCTCCACGAAGGTTGACATTGCGGCAAACGACGGTATAGCGATAATAAGCTGGTTTATTTTTTTAAATTTTTTTTTAAGTGGTGACCTGCCTTTTAAGACTAAAATAAACGAGGGATGAATCAAATATATGAAGCAATATTCTCCGTTTGGGAAAGCGGGCGGGTGACCGGACCGGCGTCAGTGGAAACTTGCGGGTGCGGAAATGGGATGGCCAGTTTTCAGGGAGGTGGCATGTGAAGCCGGATGCCGCAATCGGTGTCTCGCTGGCAGGTCACGATTTGCGCTCGGACGCGCGGATGACGTGGAAAGGGCGGTAATCGGGTTTAGCGGCACGGAGCGCGAACGGGAAGAAGCCCAATGCTTCGACGAATGGATCGAAGCGTGAGTTCGCCGGTACTGCGCTTTCGGGCCCCTGGTCTGGTCTCACAGCCTTCCTTCCTTTCTTCATTCATTCCTTCCGTTCTGTGCTGTCATCGTCCGTAAATCAACTTTCTCTCTGCTGCTGCTCCTGCTGCTGCGCGATCTGTCTCTCATCGATTCCGTGCTCGTTCGTACTGTTAACCTGGTGCAGCACAAGGGTGCTGCTGCTGCTGCCTGTCGCAATCCCGATCCTGCTCCTCGTCTTGCGGGCGGACCTCGGGCTCGGGCTCCATTTTTCTCTGCCCTCCCTCGACCCCGGGTCTTGTGTCGCACCGACGTCTGGTGCTTCTATCCGCTTGGGAGATTCTCGCTTTCCAAGACGCTGCGAGCCACATGCGGCTTCATTAGGTCAGGTTGTATCCAATTCGAGAGTTGGAGTTCTGCCCGTGCCCATCTGTTGAGCTCCCTGGCGTAGGGTTCGTCCGTGCTCGCTTTTGTGTATCGGAGCGATTTGGCTTTTTTCGGTTGTTTTGTGTTCCGGAGATTTGAGTCTGATCGTTTCCTCGAGGCGAGGAAGAGATCGGAGCACAGGGCGATGGATCAGTGAGGAAGGGCTGTGGAGTAGAGGCATGTGTATGAGCAGGCGAGATCAGGAGGAACGGGCGGAGGAGCTGCAAGAATCTTTTGGAGAGTTCGAATTGTCTGACATTGTACGATTAGCAAGCGGAAAGAAAGGTACAGGGGAGGATCTTTAGACAGGCGGGCAGGGAATTTGCTGCGTCGAGAGGATGAAGATTACGGCCATTCTCCTGCTGAGAGCTGTTCCGGGCGGAGGAGCCGATCCTGTGGTTTTGGCAAATGCGTCCGATGTGAGTCAGTTTGGATATTTTCAGCGCTCTAGCGCGAAGGAGTTCATTCTTTTCGTGGCGCGTACGATCGCCAATCGCACTCCTGGAGGTCAACGGCAGTCGGTACAACAAGATGGTTTGTCTCTTGATCCACGTCGGACGTTCTGTAGTTGTTCTCTGTCTGCCGTTCAGGTTTGGACTACTAAGGATGCATAGATCTGGACTTGCGCACATGAATTGAAATTAAGAATTCCTCTTTTGCATCTGTGCAGAGTACATGGTGCACTGCTACAACAGGAATGGTTTGTGTGCACTAGCATTCACAGATAAAGAATACCCTATGCGCGCTGCCTTCTCAGTTATTAATAAGGTACAGTGACCCCATCTTCGACGTTGTTTCAGTGGACGGTTTCAATTTGCCAAAAGTTTGCACTTTTGGGAAATTCGGGTTCTAGGAACTGGAGGTTTGCAGGAGACTAGATCAGCAAACTCTAGGAAATTAAAGAGGCGGGTTATTGTAATCTATATTTAAACTTGATTGATGTATTTCGCCAATCCTTTGGTTCCAAATATTGAGTGAGTGATATGTTTATTGCTGCTGTAATGTCAATGCTACACTTAGACTGACCTGGTTTTCTTGGCTGACATATGTCATATTCTTCTGCAGGTCGTAGACGAGTATCAGCAAACCTTTGGAAATTCCTGGCAAGTGCGAACGGATGATAATAATGAAACGTGGCCCTACCTTGTGGATGCTCTGCAAAAATACCAGGTTAGTGTATAGAATGCGTAAGTTGCAGTGAGAATTCACCATGAACGGTTCATAATTTCTTGAGTAAGGGTGAAATTTTGAAGGTGATGTACGTGTACATGATTTTTTTCAGTAATCGTCATGGTCAATGTTGGTTAGATACATTTTTTTTAAAAGTTTTTGTTTAAATCGAAAAGGTAACATGCATAAACGACGAATTTGTCGTGATTGGTTTGTTCAATGTTTCGGGCATGCCAAGTAGATCGTGGGATTCGTGTGGATTGTTTTTTTCTGAATTGTCTTTCTTCTACTTTTCATCCTAGTAGTTTCACTTTCATTCAACATGCTATCTTGAAGATCAGACCTACATCATCTCAGAGTCCCCGAGCCCTTTTAGTTTCGGGTTTCTGACCCTTGTTTTTTATCGCTGAACTTTTCGTCTGCAGAACCCGACTGAAGCTGACAAGCTCTTGAAAATACAGAAAGATCTCGATGAGACCAAAATTATTTTGGTAAGCGTTGCTTTTTTGGGATTGTAGTCAATGTAAATGCATGTCTTGGTCTGGTCCAAGCTCAATCTGTCCACGAACAACGACCAGCCTTGAGTCAGTAATTTTTAGTTGGATGCCCATGTACAAAAATGATGTCATCCAGTTCTTATGTGACCCACATCTGAATCGTGTACAAATCTTTTGCATCCTCATTTGTCTTGTTTACACTCTGCAGCATAAAACCATCGACAGTGTGCTTGAACGAGGAGAGAAGTTAGATACACTGGTGGATAAGAGCACCGATCTTAGTGCTGCGTCTCAGGTACGCTATCGAATTGAATCTGTTGCACAGTTGATGTGCTTTTCATCTACTAAGTACTTACTCATGCATTTTGTGGATAAACTTCAACTGTTAAGACCAATTTCTACTTTCCTTCTAAAGTTTTGAGAAAATTCGAACGAAGAAACCTAAAGCATTGTAGAAGTCGTGCTATGTTTGTTCATGACCTTTCTCTAACTTTTGTGTCCTCTGCACGAACTGGATTTGCAGCTATTTTACAAGCAAGCAAAGAAGGCAAACCAGTGTTGTTCGATATTGTGAAGTCTGCCGGAAGGCAGGAGTAGATTTGTGGGGTTAGTGACTTTGAATTGGTGCTGCGAAGGTATGAGTCACGAATTAGCTCAAGCAAAACTTCTGTTCAGATTCTTGATTCTTGTTACGAGCCAAGGCTAGAATTTTTCCGAGTTGGGGCATACATTTACACCACAAGAATCTCAGAGTAGTTCCAGATCATAGCGATTTGTTACAAAGTGCTTGCATGTGCGTATGGGTCTAATCTATTCTCTTCTGTGAGAGTAGAAGAGCTTCTGCACTTCAGAATCTCTTACTCTTGCTGAAGGGTCTTTGTACAGGACATACCTGCAGCCATTTGAACTACTCTCTCCTGGTATTGAGAATAAGTTTAGTTGTTATCCTATCCAATTTGAAATAGGATGGTTTGTAAGAAACACGTTTACTAGATTATCACTGTCGATAGCTTGGGTTCGGCTTCATGTATCGCGCTGCAGAGAAGCCGGTGGGTTGGGTGGATGGATGTTATCCCTTCAGAGAGGTCGGTTTTTGTATCTTTTTACTTCTCGTCCGTGTCCGTATCTGTCCCGTAATACTTTGGGTAAAGAGAGCCATGACCAGTAGAGAGTGCAGTGTTTCCCGTTTCAGGTTCATGCAGCTCTCTTCTGCTGAGGATATGACTAGAGACCTTCATTCATGGCACGTTTGTACATTGTAAGATTGATTATTGTCGTCGGTCAGGTCAGCAGCAGTAACCCTTTCAAATTGTTGATGGTTTCGCGCCGGATGAAGCCTCATGGTGTGTAATTATGCCCTCATCTGCCATTTGCATAAATTGGACTCACTTTGTATATTTGGAGTAAATTGTTACACCATGACATCTCATGAGGGCAAAATAACAAATTTTCCTCTTCCGGTTATATGGGTGATGTATCAGGCTGATCAAGTAATTTCTTTCACTGTTGCGAGACTGATATTCGCACTGGTTACTGTTGTTGAGGGCTAGTCATTTGGAGATGGATCTGACTTTTCAATGAAGATTGTATGAGGCTATCATTCCACAATATTGCTTAAAGACGCGAGCTGCAACTGTTCCGAGCATATAAGCTGGATATCTTTGTGATATGCTCGACTTCGATAATGTCAGATGAGGTGGAGGACACTAGTAACCCCTCGATGATAATTCCGCACCAACACTCACAAAACTGATCATTCACTTCCCTTAATACAAATCAGGCCTGACTTAAATGTGTAAAAAGCTGAGCCTAGCAGCTCGTGCCGAGATAGCCCAGCACCGTAGCTAGAAACCAAAGAAAACCAAACACCACATATGCAGTTTCTTTATATCGATGGCATGGGAGAATAACAAACAAAGAATCCATGAAAGAACCACAATTTTGCTTGAACACCAAAGAGCGTGGGTGAGAGATACTCAGTCATGTTGGCTGCTTAATTACATGTGAACTGCACTTGGTTGCGCTGAATTTCAATACACATACAAGAGTTGGCTGCGTCATCAAAATCACAGTTTTACAAAACGCGAACAGAGAGGTCAAAAGGTGAGATGATGTGTGTGTTACACAATTAACAAGAAAACATCTCAAGATCTGCAATTGCAAGGATAAATATCAATAAGATAGAAAACATCGACAGTTATGAGGATCAATATGGACAAATCCAATAATCTAAACTCGAAGTTTGGCCACGAGGAAAGAAAGCGAAGGAAGCAGATGCAAAGCAAGTGAAGCAAAGTGAACGAAAAGGGTGAAACTACAGTACTAGCTGGGAAAGACGCAAACAGACAAACCTCATGCACGTCCTTCCTATGACCGACAGACCAATGGATCTGGATGAAAGGTCGAAGAAGCAAGCAAAGGTCAAATGGGCCGTAAAGGACGACTCGAAGGACAACGTTGTGGGTCTGGAGATGCGCACTGTGTTGGATCTCAAGTCGATGGATGTGTGGGCTCCTGATCTCGAACTTTGCGATCGTTCTGTGTTCAAGTCGAATCGCGTGTCGAGACGGTCAGTACAAGTGCAAAGGCTTTCTAACGGCCTCTCTTTCTTCATTTCAGTTCATCCCTGTACTGCTACTTCATAGGTTCCTTTCTGCTCTTACTCGGTATTATCACTTGTAAAGAATTAGCGATTTTTAAAACAATATAGCTCTAATAGCAAACATGTTGAAGAAACCTGAGGTCATAAAACGTAATTAGCACGTATCGCAAATACATCTCTACCTTTCCGTTGCCGGGACTTGAACCCGGGTCGCTCGGGTGAGAGCCGAGTATCCTAACCAACTAGACTACAACGGATGATGCATTGTGGTCTTTCTCTTGTATTTATATATTCTAGAAACAGCCATTCATCCCTCAATGCAGCTAGTGTCGTAGTCTCCAGAATCCGAGGGCAATCACACGTTGGTTTCATGTTTTTAACTCGATGCAGTTCAAAATTTCTCATTTCGACTTACCTGAATCCATGTTCTCAGCGCCTGGGATTCCTAATTTGGAGGAGATGAAGAAACCTGGGCCATGCAGAAACAAAGAGAAGAAAATGGTTCAAAATGCTCAAGTATCGGCGGTGATGAATAATTCATTGATTGAAAAAAAAAGCTGAAACTTTGAGTTTGCTTACTTAATTGAATGACGGCCGAGCATAAATCAAACATACAATAAGCATAAAACCCGTATAAAATAATCCATCTGACGGTAGCTCGTACCTCCTCTCCCATCCAGGAAAACTTGACTAATTTAACCTCATTACGCCGTTTGAAGGCTATTTCTGTGACTTTAAATTGAGGTGTCGTTGGAGCTTTTGACAATCGCAAGACCACCTCGAGAGACTAAGTTACCTTTAGCACTTTAATATTGAGAATAATGTCAAGTCAAGTTATCGCCCCATTTTTTTTGCATTTTGGTGGAACTCCCCAACTGCATGAGTCAATGGTGTCATCTCAACCACGTAGATCGGTTCAAGAGCCACGCAGTCCACCGTGAGCCTCAGCTCGTTCAAGTCTCCAGCGTTTCGCATGTTGTACCGCAGCGCTGACGAGAAGCAGAAGTGGGTTTGCTAGGAACTCGATGCCACGTCGTATGCCACGTCAAGGTCACGAGGTTGACGACGATGATGAGACACGCCCCTTTCCGACCTTATCTGATTCCAGAAAATCGAAGAAAGGCGTTCGGAATCCTTACGAGCCCTTCTATTCCCTTCGACGCTGACCTCGAGGTCGAATTGCGAGCCTTGAATTTCATCGACAGAGAAGATTTGAGAACTTCGTCATTGTGCACCATTGATTTATTATTTTCTACGTGCTCACATTTTGTTTCATGAAATTTTGAGCTTTGCACATCGTCAGGTGGACTTCCTCTTGAGGGTTGCGGAGAATCATTAATTGCAAGCTATGGGGCTGTTCGGATTTGGGGGAGGAAAGAAGAAGCAAGAGCAGCCGGAGGAGAAGAAGAATGTCGATGAGAAGGTTGACACCACGGCGATGGCTGAGGACCCAAAAGGAGGAGCCAGCAGCTCTGATGTGGTGCGGTTGAATGAGGCACCATCAGGGCCTAAAGACACGGATGTGAGTGTGTTCGAGTTTGGAAGCGCCGGAAGCACCGATGACAAGATTACCTTGGCTGGCTATTGCCCGGTTTCGGACGAAATGGAGCCTTGTCGATGGGAAATTTTCCCCTCTGGCCAGGCCGAGGCTCCCGGGTTCAGAATCGTGTTTTAGGGATTTTGCCCGCATTTTGTTTTGAGGAGGTTGAGCATTCATTCGAGATTCTCTCGAGTAATGGTGAGATTCGAGCAAGTTCGACCTTGGATTGATGTTTCTGGAATCTTGCTTTGGTTTTCGGTCTGTTGTGGTTCGTGGAGTCCCCGCGATGTATATCGAGGTGTCAGGTTGTAGCGTTTTCTCCGAGGATGCACGCAGAGGACGGAGTTCCCAACAGAAGACTTTTAAAACTTGGATGGTTTATTGACACTGCTGAGTTCTTAAGTCTGCAAGATAGCATCGACCTGTCATTCTATTGGAGCCTGGTTGGTTTCATGAGGACTAGTTTTAAATGGGCCATCTGTAGATCGGATCAGCACCAGCAAACGAGAATGTAACTGTATTTAGAGATTTTTGAGTTAATATGGAGACTTTTGAGTTAAATGAGGGCGGCACTTTTATGGACACCGTCCACGAATCCACCCATCTGCTTGGAAAATCAGTGCAATCAAGGGCCATTGTAAAGTTTCAAGTAGAGGTCTATGATGACTCCGTTGTTGTAGAGATTGTACGGGTAAGGAGATCAGAAATCGTTTGTGGTAGATGGTGGGTCTAGGGGCAACTTGGACTTTTACTTAGTTGCATGTGGTCAACTGGTGCAGGGAATTGAGCTTTCTGAGAAAAGTGCATGCAGATGTATGTCCAAAATTGACGTTGATGTCAAGTTTTGCCATTTTAGTTCGCTTACATCTCCGATATGAATTATAATTCATCATCTCCATTAACTTAATCACCCTACGCTTGGCTTCCTTACAGATGTGTCTAAAGTATTCTGCTGAAGGCGGCGGTCGGTTAGGGGAAACAGGACTCTGTACTTGGATTCGATCAAGAGTTGCTGTCTTATTTCTCGCCAGGGATATGATGAGGCTTGTGCTAGATCCAACATTATTTGTGCCTACAACTGTTGTCAGGATTGTGCAACTCAAATTTTGTGTGTGTCTGAGGAGCACATTTACGTCACCCTGCGAAAGGTTGATGAACAAATTTGGAGGATAGAGAGTTCTATATGTAGGCCAACAGGAGGAGAAACTGTTAGCTCAATAGTCGAAGTAATAAACTTCTCTTTATTGCTTGTTTTGGTCGAAGTGATCCGTTATATCAGTTTTAATAAACCTTGAAGACGCATGGGCGATGAACCAAAAACTTGGAATTCCTGAAATTATAGTACAAAATCTGAATTTAGAGTTCTGATAAAGTCGTTACTGATTCTCTCATAAAAATTTGACTGTATGGTGATTCTTATGAACCTTCGTTGTATTGTGAGAGAAGACGGTCCACAGCAACGAAGTCTCTCACGTTTTGACGTGTTAACTTTATGTCTCATGCTGACTCAGTCAATAGTCTTCTGTTCGCTCGATGGGAGTGGTGGTCAATTGTCTTCCGTGACATCCCAGATTTTCAGCAACTGTGAGAAATCAGACTCATTTGTCGCTAGTTTGGGAGTTCACTTCAGGCTAGAACAAATTTGTTTTCTGCACAACATAGTACGGATTGCGCTCCTTCGATTACGTGGTCTGGTTAAAGCCCACGTTTTGGTTATCACTGATGAGATGGTGAACCTCGTGATAAGTGTGGGTTTAAATTGCTCTGTATAGTGCAAACCCGTATTGGTTTGTCCTGACAGTGCATCATACTAAAATATCATGGAACCTGTGTGCGTCAACTCCTCTTTGCTCCATGATTTCGTTGCTTCTGTAGACATTCTACCAAACGTTCACAATGTTGGGATTGAAGGGCTCTTTCTGTGGGTCGATTCGACGGAACACATCTAACCTACTGCCACCCCACCGGCTTCCCTTACTTCGCAACTCCAAAACCCCTGTGCTCAATCTGACACAGGGCAATCAATACAACTCGTCACAAAATGCAACTTCGGAAAACTTTCATGTGGCGTAACTCACAGCGCTGCTCTGAAAAAACTCGGTCCACTGGAATTCCCACTAAAACCTCCTATCGTCATGATACGTACCCGTGATGAGAGAATATCATCCGGCATACGCTTCACTTCGAATGCTACTGCCTGGAGAGAATCTCAGTGCAGTCAGTTCATTTACTCGGTTTCTTATACTTACTTTCACAAGGTACTTCAGAAGGTCTTTTCTGAGCTCTCGGTACAAATTTTGTTCCCCATCGTGCCACTCACCATGACGTTTCTGACCTTGGAGCCAGAGCTTTCATGTCCTTGTGCACCGTGACTGATTGTCGCAAAAGAGAGGATCTAACTTAAGTCAATGTTCGAGTTTAGATCCAGTAAAGCACTTCAGGTCTTATCTTAAACGTGATGTAGACAGTTCGTCTAGAACATTAATACTATACCCGAGTTCCAAATGAAGGGTGCTCTTGTAGCCAAATAGCAGTTCTTGTAAGAGCATCTCTTGTCTAGGTCTGTGAGTGGAGCATCAGAAGGACCGAAGCCAGCAGGCAAGCAGGCTCATTAACGGGAGGAACTGGAGACACAGAGGAGAAGCTGAGGTACTGACTGTGGGGGTTTGAGGATCTGTGAACGGTTGATTGGAGTGTAACCAAATTTTGCTCAGGTACGATGAGTTCGTGATGCATTTGAGATGGGGAGTTTGGCTGGATGCATCAGCAGCACTGCTGTTCATGAGATCTCTGCTGGGCTGCTTGTGATCTGAGATTCCTACCGCATCCCTTTGGTCGTAAATTTATGGTACGCTGATAGAGATGGGGATGAATTGAGCTCGTTTCGTGTTTATTAAGTTTGTTATTTCCCTGTGTTTTGAATGGCAGACCTCAGTCAGTGCCAAGATTCTTCCACTGAGGCGAGAGAAGGGAGTCGGCGGGCGAGACTTGGATCGGTGCTAAGCTCATCTCGGACGATAGGGGGCGAAAAAGAATTGTTTATGAGCAGATAGGGTTTCCCAGCTTGCAGTTTTGGACCGTGTGGGTTTGAGGTCGGATCAACGACGTATTTCGATATTCGTGTTTTGCAATTTTGAGGAAGAGAGAAATAAAAGAGAGCAAAGATGCCGAAGAGGAAGACCGGAGCGAGGAAGAAGGCAGAGCAGTTGAAGGCGAGGCAGAAAGGCATAGCAGCGAGACAATTCACTGTGGATTTAGGGAAGCATCCATGCAATCAGATCATGACTTGTGATTACTGCACCAGGGAGCAGAAGAATCGTGCTTTCTGCTATTTTTGTGCCAGTAATCAGAAGACTCCAATGTGTGCCCAGTGCGGAAAGACTAAGTGTATGGCAGCTGCACCCGACTGCGCCGTGAGGCATCCAGGCCGCAATGTCACGGGTATATCTCCCTTTCTCAGGACTTATCTCCTCACACCTAAGCTAGAAACTGAAGGGGCGGAATCAGGCATTCTAAATTGCACCGCACGCTCTCGTTGATTGTGAGTTCGTCGGGTCCCTTGTACCATTATGTAGGGATGAGAAGTGCTTTTGGCTTTCATGCAACAACTTCGAGATGCAGAAATTTCCACATGGAATCGAGTTTGAGAAGAAAAATTAAATTCTGTAGTACTGTTTTGTTGAGGAATGAGCCAAACTGTAACAAAGACTTTCATCAAGAATAATGTGGGACTCAACATGCATGACGAGTCTTCCTTGCACATAAGCCTGGAGTGTAGTAAAGCATTTCCACAGATGCTGTGAAGTAGATGATCTAGCTCATTTTTTAGGAGCTGGCATCTCAGTTTAACTCCGTCTTCCTTGAGATCAAGGGGATAGAGAGTATTGAGTTTGGAACACGAGGAGTTTTGGTGCCCACTAAACGCAACATTTTCAGCGTCCATTCATGCACCAGATGCACTTTCACCCTCTAGACAGCAGAGTGGAGTGTGGACAGCACTTGTCGATTGCCAATTGTAATTTTGTGGGAAGTGGGCACTCTCTGTCCACAATGTCTTACTAACTTGGAGGATATTCGCAATATTAGGTTGTTATGCTTTACTCATGGATGGCCGAATGTTTTGCAGGTCTGGGAATGGTTGGATGCGTATGTGATTTCTGCGAGGCGTGGGTGTGCCACTCGAGAAAGTGCTTGACCACTCACTGCTGTTCTTGTCCACTTATTGATGCAACATGCATTGAGTGTGAACGTGTCGTGTGGGAGCATGGAGGGCGTCTTTTTCGGTGTTTCTCCTGTGACATGTGGCTATGTGAAGATGACCAGTTCGAGCATCAAGCTTCGTGTCAACAGCTTGATAGTGAAACATTTCACTGCCTCTCCTGCAATCGAATGGGAATATACACATGTCTTCGATGCAAGATTTGCTTCTGTGATGAGCACGTGAAAGGGCTGACGAATGTTAATAAGCGTGGAGAGGTTTGCCTCTCAAATTCTCTATGAACAATTTCTGGTGAAGAGTATCTTTCAGCTAACTCATCAGGTTTTAGTCAATACGTCGCAGTTTGTATTACGTTAAACGTACAACTCAAATGCAAATGGAATCAACGATTGTTTACTAAATAGTTCTGTTCGTCATCTGTGTGACAGGCTTTGGCATGTAAAAAATGTAACTATCCTTTGAAGGAAACGAAAGATATCAGTGTCTCGGTGCGACAACACAAATATGGACGCCAGGTAATTTATCTAAACACATCTCTTGCTGTTCCACACCAGTTGACTGTCTCAAACCCCTGAAATATGATGTTTGCACAATGCTATATAATTAACTGGTCTCACTCCTACATCGACGGATTCATGATGGATAGCTTATACTCTGTCTGGGTGCGCATGCTAATGTATCACATGCAACAGGGGACAGGTGTGGGAGATGAAGGGTACTATGGCGGGGGTGGCTATGGTGGTGGAGGAGACGATGAAGATAGCGGGTTTTCAGGTTATGGGGGCTTCAGTTATGGTGGTGGTAAAGCCAATGCCTCGGACGATGATGAGGATGATGAGGACGAAGATGAGGACGATAAGGACGATGATGAAGAAGACGACGATGATGAGGACGACGATGGGGAGAATGACGATACCGTGGGCATGGCTTCTTTAAACATTAAAGAGTTTCGGATAGAAGGTGGGGGCACTGTTAAGGGCAGCTCCTCGAAATAGATGCAGTCTCATGTGACTCATCACTGAGCAGATTCCGAGAATTGTTTGGCAAGTTGTTGCGGCTTATGGTTCCAGCTTTGGAAGTTTTGGGTCAATTAATCATGCTTGCTTCTTCTGGAGGCAGGACTTCACCATACGATTCTCATGGTGTTGATGGTCGAGGACATATGCTTTAACAACGTTGCTATAAACATAGACAGTTATGTGCACATATGTCTGACTTTTCAGGCATTTACAATTATTAACGAGATAACTATATCCATGATTGATTTATGATAATCAATCAGGACAAGAAGAGCCTGAATGTTCGAAGCACTGTACGTATTAAGGGTAAAGACTCAACCCTCCGCAACTCTGTCTGCTTGTAAGCAGTAAACTTGGTGTCGATGGTGCAGAAATCACTCAACTCTTTTGATTTCTGCGTTTCGTTGGATTCAATATCAGCTGATCATCCCAGCAATATGTCGTTGCTGGTTCAATTGGTGTACACGTAGACTTCCCCATCATCGTGAATTATGACCCTTGGCTGGTGACACATGAAGCCTGTTTCGTGCAAGATGTTTCTCTGGTTGTTGGAAGGGCCTGCCCCATATCTTGTGTTAGCATGTTCCTATGTCAGAAGTCACATGAAGAGTAGCCACATTGCATTGCGACTTGATGACCTCTTGTGTCTGGACTGAAGCTGAGGTAGCTATCCCGTTTACAGGTGGAGTTTGTGACCAATTATAACTCTCATATCAAGAGCTTACTTTGAATGTCCATTTCCAGGTGACAGATTGTCACACGGATATCGACTTCTAGAGGGTAGTTCGTACATTTATGGTCTGACTCCACCATTTCTACATTCTGAGGACTCGAAGAACGTTATTGAGCACAGGTGCACCATATTGGATATTGGGATTTAGAAACAAAATTGGAACTCGGTTGTGCAAAATAAGAAATCTTCCCATGGAGAATTGAATGAACAGCATTTGCAATTTGTAAGAGAAATATTCTCTTCAATATATTACTTTAAAGTTGTATGACATTTACAATTTTTAACCTGCAACCGTGACCATCTTTGGATCTGAATACATTACAGAAGAGTCTATCGCACCAAAGATGTAAGTGTACACCAAAGTCGTGGATGCGCATAAACCAGCATAGATTGCAGGAAACTTCATATATTTGAAGAGATTCACGTTTCTAGAAGCCTTGCATTATCACATGTCTCTTTGACTCAAGTGATGCTTTATGGGGATATAAGTTTGCGATGCACACTTGCACTTCAGGTGTATAAAAATCTTTTATTTCACTGTGTTTCTCTCACACCTAAAGTTCGATGAAATTGGAATTTTTGTAATACCTTCTCTTGCTAGTAAGTATATGAAAGAGATAAGTATTAGTCGTTTATTAAGTTATTGTCAAATTTCTTTGTGTAATGTGAACAAATCTTCTGTTGGAGAAGAGCTTGTGGCCATGATTATGAATTGTACTATAAATAGATTTTTATGCTTCGAATATTGCTGTATTATGTAATGGATTGATGAATGTAATCGAAATATTTCTCTATAGATATTTATAGTAGTAGATTTATACAAGATGATTAATGGAATTTGAAGAAAATGTCAACATATGTAGGTTTGTATTTTGCTAAAAATAATCCATGGATTGAAGTAAGTTCTTGGTCGATAACATACAAATTTGGAGTAGTTAATGATAAACAAGAATTTTTATGGTTTATGTAGGAACCATGTATATAAAAAAGAAGAAGTTGGATAACGGGCATTTAATTTCATTAACGTAGTACTTTATGTGGATGACACTATCATTTGAACAAATTATCAATTAGACTTCACTAGAGTCAAGAATTTACTTAAATCTACATTCAAGAATAAGTATTTGGATTTGTTCAACAGGATTTCAGATGGTATGTTTATAGTAAAGTTAAAGAGAAAAAAACTTTGATCTTCTGTGATAAAACTTTTAGACTCAGCCTACACTCCGTGCCAGCTTGAAAAGTTTAAAGTGATAGATTACAAAGAAGTTTGGATTACTTTGGCAACGCATTTTAAGCTTAAATATGATGTGCATTGAGCTATGTGAAAATTTACATGTCAAATTCAAAGAAAATACATTGAATTGCTATGAAGTAATTCAAAATAATTAAATATTATTGATATTTTATTTGACGATTTAGTAAACAATGTCAAATTTTTGTTAATTTACTATTGATACTTTTAATTTACAAACTCTATATCCAAATGTTTGGTTACACTTGATGATGAGCATTTGAATTTTAAATATATTTTGCAAAAATGTAGAATTTGACCAGTAATAAATCTTGAATATATAACGGTAGCAGAAGTGGAGAAATAGTATACTTAATTATGAAATCAATTCCATTATTAAATAGAGTAAAATGCATTCTACAAAAAAATCTAATAATATATAGCAAGATGAAACATATCGACATTAAATATACCATTTTTATTAAGAATATTAAACTAGTCAAGATTGACAAAACATTCAATGCAACTCATGTATTGATTCAAATTATTATTTTGAAGGCAGTATGTTTATTTTTAGATTTTGCATAAGCTACACAAGTAAACTTTAAAAACAACTTTTGTTATCTATTCATATAATTTTATATTGTATATTTTTTCAACTACGGACATAATTCCAATTACCTATAGTTCATAGAGTAAATTTATTAGATTTATTCTTTAAACTTCTTGCAAAATAATTATAAACGATGTAAACTTTAAACTATCAAAACATGTTTAAAATATTTTTTCAAAATCCAATTCAGGTCTTAGTTCACTGGAGTTACTTTATTTAGTTAATCTATTAAGTTTTATATAAATATAAATACACACATATATGGAAACTTATTGTAACTATCTGTAAAAAAAATTGTAATTTTAAATGAGCTATTCATGAAATGAAGATTTTGAACACTAATCTTTTTAAAAATTTCTTTAAGATAATAAGTTTTCTTTGAATAATTAAATTTTTATGTGAAAGTTATGAAGCATTAAATTTTTATAGAATCCTGTCATACAATCAATCCTTGCTGTAGTACTAAATCTTCATCGCCTTCACTAATTTATCTCACAAGAAGATTGTATATTCCCACTATTCCAACATTTCTAAACACTTCGATAACATCTCAATAAGATCATCTGCTTATGATGAAGTGTTCTATAAAATCTCAAATCACTAAATCATGAATACGTATTTATTCGTACTCATGATAAGTATATGAATACATTCCATATATTCACAAATTATACTGGAAATCTCCCATCAATTGCATTCAAGGTTTATTCTTGTTGAATTCGCGGCGAGAGAAAATCTGGATTCCAAGCCCTGTTGCGGGCGGGGTAGCATAAAAAAATCATCTCTTAAATCTAAAAGTGTACGACCATGCACGGCATTGTCCCCTCGCTGAAACTTGATGTTCAATGAATGCATACTGTGCATGAGAGCTGCACGAAGTGTTTGCTTATAGAAAGTAGATAGAACCTTTCATGGATTTGGAATCATGAAATGTTCTATGTACTTTCCATAAGGCCAGACTCGCCCTTAGGATGACTAAAATCTGAATGAGGTTTTCTGTTTCTGATAGACAAAGTTACAGTGGACTAACCTTAAGAGTATTGAGATTATATAAATTATATACCTACTGCTTATGGCCACTGTCGTGGAGATCACGAGATTATATAACTGATATGTTTCCAACATCCCGACGTGACCATGTCCTGTTTTGCTACTTTCTCTGCATATTTCATACCTTGGCTCTTCTCGTAATAGGAACATGTATTTTTCCGTTGAGCCGATCCTAGTAAGTGTTTGTGTCTACTCAATTTGGACTCGCAATGCCATTTGCAATGTCGCCTTTGACTTAAATTCTTAGCCTAACACCATCTACAAACACTAATCTCCAATCAAACTACCGATTTATGCTCTTTGACATTCGAGAAGTATTTTTCCTATGATATTGTGAATTTTTTTCCAGAGCAGGTGATGGAAATCTGTAGATGTATTTTGATCTACGCAAAATTTCTCTCTTGGCTCTCAAGGACTTTCCACAGCTTCTTGCCTTCACCAGTACTCTTACTTTCACGTGAGCTACAATGCTCACCTCTGTGATATGACTCTAGATAACACTCAGCAGTCATGAATTGAAATTATTCGAAATTCAAGTAAACCCCTAACCATACCTCCAACTCTGAACAATAAAGCAATTAAAGGTATGATAAGCCCTGAAAATGATCATTCACTATCGTGGTCCATAGCAATATATTAAAATATATAAAATATATTTCTCACCTTGAGAAATAGGGAGAGGACACCATTCCCAATCTAACTATAACTTTTTATTTTAATTGGTAAATCTTCCTATGTGCTGTACATATTGCAAGAATCAACAGCAGGCAGCTATCTGACCCAGAGATTTTCTACCTAAAAGGCAGAAAATCGTGAGTTCAAAGAACCAATCATCTAGAAAAGAGTTCACAAGGAGCTCAATCTGAGGAGGAGGAAAAGCCACCTTCTTATAAAATATAACCTCGGCTACAATCTGGTGGAGAAGGATGTTGAGGTTGCTCGTTATTTGATGCCGAGTGCATCAGATCATGCGCATCACTATTACATCGGGGCAGAGAGTATATGCCACTCCGGAGGAAATAAATTTAACTACCACATAATCTCCAACAATTTCCTGGCGACAAGGTGAATCCCGATAGAATAGCATAATAGTACCAAAAGTGTGAAATGGAGGGAAAAGGTCACTTTCCAAATGGAAGTTCGTGATGGGCATCTGCATGGTTATGTTTGGTAAGAGGATTGCCTGAATATCTGGTATTGAATAGAAATTTCTTAGATTCTTAGTTCCTAGTGCGGATGAAATGACTGGTCCTTATACGGAAGGAAATCAGGTCCTTTAAGATCTGCTTGGAGTTGGGCTGACAGAACGTCATGTGAATTTGAAAGGAAGCAAGATTCCCAGCTTTGTAACAATTTGCATGTCGTTAAAAGTCACTCAAAAGCGACAACCCTCAACTCCTGCATTAGATTGTGGCGTGCCTGCATCCTATGGATCCATTGACCACGCACATGGTCAATGAACCATTTGATCATGTATGTACCGACGTAGGTAGGCTAAAAAAAAAAAGGCTTTCATTGGGAACACTATCTACAGTGTCAAGGACAGTTTATCTGCTCTCCAATTAAAATTCGATGTTAAATATTTGCAAAATTTTGTGAAATGGGTAGACTCATAAAATAAACTGTTTCATTGGGAATACTATCTACAGTGTCAAGGAAAGTTTACTTGCTCTCCAATATGATTTCGACGTTAAATGTTTGCATATTTTGCATGAGAACTGCAGCGGGACGTGCTGATGACACATCTGTCAAAGCTTCCATCAAATTCTCTCACGTATAGACTGTCCCAACCCTCAGTCTGTCAAACATACAGGGCCCAGAAAGTTCAGTGAGTTTTCATCTCTGATTGACAAAATTACAGTGAGAAGAATTTAGACAGTTGAGCTATGACAGAGTTGAACCCATGATCTTGATATTCTCACTCTTTGGTTCTCAGCGCATATTCTCGGTTTATATATGCCACTTGTGAACTGCGAGTTCATGTTATGAAATTGCAAGGTTGACTTTAGGTACAACAAGTCTTCCTTGCAGTCAGTACTAGGAATAAAGTACACTTGTCTACCATAAGAGTCCTGTAGGAAGATCTGCCAGCAGCTCATATGCTTTTCATCTTGTCTTCCTTTCACCGGTGTCTTTTCAGATCCACGATTCCAGACATCTATGTAGAGGATAAAGGGATTGATGCTCCAAAGCTGGACTTGAAGATTGATATTAAACTTCATTGTACTGGTGAACTTTTTCCAACCGTGCATCAAGCTCGCAGTTCTCAACATTGAGGTGGGGGCCCAATCTGTCCGTATAAGAAATACACGGAAGTGTTGAATCATTTCGGAACTATAGCTCACGCTGTAGCCACCATGCACACTAGGCACTAATTAAAATCAATTGAATTACATGGTCCAAGACCATGTCAAATATGCATTGACCAGTTCCGAAATGAACAGGTTGAACTTTATGAACTACCCGGCCCAGATTTCCAGGTTTGTCTCGCTGAAGGTATTTCATGCCATCAATCATGGGTTCGTTGCTCCAGCGAGAACGAGATCAAGGACTATAAATGTAGCATTTTCCACAAGGCAATCATCACCGGCTCACTTCTCGAGCCATTGTCTTGTCTCTATCTTGAGTAACTCTCACTTTCAGCTTTCAGGTACGTATCTGACTGTAATTCATATAGACTCCTCCAATTCACAACATGTACGAAGGCTATCTCGACGTTCATTCGTAGAGAATTCACACCTCATATATCAGCTTACCTTTGAGCTGCTAATCATGAACGCTGATCTAAATGTTAATATTTCGATGAAGCATCTTATGCAGTGTTGTGCGTTTCTAACTATCTCATCCATTGTCTTGTAGCTGCAATCAGGTAGATATTAAGCAGAAAACCATGGCATCACCCAACGTTAGCTTGTTGCTGGTGCTCGTCAGCTTGATGTGTTCTGCAGCATTCTCTTCTGGAGAGAGTACCTATGCCACCGGTTTGTCAGAGAATTTCTATGATACTTCTTGTCCTCAAGCAGCTTCTATTGTAGATGCCTTCGTTACCAAATACCTCCAGAAAGACAGGAATTTTGCTGGTGCTTTTAACCGATTGCAGTTCCACGATTGCTGGGTTGGGGTATGTTTTTCTCAACCTCTCTGTGATTGGGAACATGTAACCCTGTCGTTCTAACTCAGTTTTATGCACGCGGCTTATTTCTGAGCATTCAATCACAAACTTGAGTTGCAGATATATTTCGTGGCATCTTCATGACTTCCTCGTTTTTTATAAGCAAAGTCCATGTTGAAAATATAACTCATCAACAAGGGCTATACCTCATTCTTCTGTCAAATACCCATGCTCATGATGACCTCTCAGGGTTGTGACGGTTCTGTTCTTCTGAACTCCACTGCAACGAACCAAGCAGAGAGAGAAGCTCATGTCAACTTCGGGCTCAGAGGTGTTGCTGAGATCGATGAAATCAAGGCGGCTCTAGAATATGCGTGCCCAGGTGTTGTCTCGTGCGCAGATATCCTCATCATGGCAGCTCGTGACGCCACGGTCAAAGTACGTTCCCACTTCAGCCATAACGCTAAGCTATTTTACTACACAGAAGAATGACCTCATTCAGCAGTGATCTTATTTTACCTTCTAACAACCAGTTTAGAAGCGATCTGATTTTCGCACCTGCCTCCTGTCAATGTCCAAAGGTTGGAGGTCCAACGTGGACTGTGGCAACTGGTCGCAGAGATGGAGTTCGGTCGACCGACTTGATGGCTGACACCAATCTTCCCTTCCCAGTTTTGAACTTCAGCGGACTCGTTGCCAACTTCGCGGCCAAGGGCTTCAACGCCAGAGAAATGATCACTCTCTCAGGTACTACCATCTTCATTCAGGCTTACGGATACGTTGATCAGAGACATGACCCAGCAACTGCATTCAAAGTTTCTTCTACTGAGTCAGGCTCTCGTCATTGTCTACTCAAAGTAAGGAACTAGCACATGCCCTCACCTGCATTTCATTCTGGTAAGATTCACTGCTCTATGGCTATATTCTGTCCTTCCGATTTCCTTAGCTTTGGATCAAGTCCAACTAATATCACATTATCACTCGGTGGCTGGATGCTCGTACAGGTGCACACACCATTGGACGGTCCCACTGCAATGGGATCCTCCCGCATCTGTACAACTTCACGGGAAAGGACGATGTCACAGACACAGACCCTGCCATGGACAAGGAGTTCTCCGTCCTCCTGAAGACGCTTTGCCCGCAGGGGAACAGGACCAACACCATCTTCATCGACTCGACGGCAAATCATTTCGATCGCCTCTACTACAAAAATGTGCTGGGAGGCCGAGGAGTGTTCATTACGGACTCTGCCCTCATCACGGACCCCGGAAGCAAGAAGGTTGTGCAATCGTTCGCCAAGCGCAGCTCCACGTTCTTCTCGGAATTCGCTGCTGCTATGGTGAAGATGGGTGACCTTGGGGTGCTGACTGGCACGCAAGGTGAAATCCGCAAGACCTGTCAGTTTGTGAACTAGAATATGACACTGCATTAGACATTGTAGGAGCCAGTTATCACTGGATTAACAGACACAGTTTTAGGACCCATTCATTTATTTAGTTCAGAATAAACTCCAGTTGAAGATACGACGATGATTTCGACAGATCTTGTGTGAGCGTTTGTTTCACATGCCCAACATGAAACGCAACACAGAGTTGAGATGATTGTACTTGTTTGATAATGAGGTAGAAGTCAGAGATTAGCAAACTTCAGAAGGGAAATTCCGTCAGGAACTTTCCTCACTTGTTTGCATTCGTGAAGAGAAATAAAGACTTCATGTCCATCATCTTGTGTCTGTTTGGTCGGAACTCATAACATCCCTCTCCAGACAAGGGCCTATGAACTGTTAATATTTAGGTAGTGAAAATTGAGAAAAACTCAGCAAGACGTAAAGGGGTGTCTCAAAGGAGGCAACCAGGATTGAACTGATGACCTATCGGACTGCAGCCGATTGCTCTACCACTGAGCTATACCTCCGGTTACGGAAAGTGAAAGAAATAATTAGTATCAGTAAAATATCCATACATGCGTAGAATATATTAAATTACGACTTTGGTTGTACGCTTCAAGTGAGCATTTTAAAATCCTTTCATGTATTAAAATTGAATCTGATCATAAAATATTTAACTTTAAACTATAATGATGAAAATTAAACGAAAATTGTAATTTCAAAAGTCATTGCGAGTTCTGACACGGCATGCTTTCTTTATTCAATAACCATCTGCCTTGTTAGCGGGTGGTGGGGGATGTAATCTGCTGTGATGTATTATAGCGAAAATACAAAAACAAGGAAGCAACTGCAAGTTGGGGCAGAAATGCATGATGGTGTGATGACTAGCCTGTTAATGACAAACAGATGTGCATAATTTGTTATTCTGCGTCTGAAGCAGAGAGAAGGAAAATGGAAGCCCATGTGTGAAAATCCATGTCTTTTGTTAACAGATTCGCTTCATCTCATACTGTAGAACTTGCATACTGTCATGATAGATAAACATTCTACGTACATCCATTTGGAGACACACTTTAAACACCACATTCTCCACAGGATATGATACAAACTCTTTACCACGTGTATATGTCCACGGCGAATAACATAATATGTCAATCGATGATTTCTGATTAAGGTGGACACCAAGCTTTTATCCTATCCAGCACTCCGTAGGGTAACTTTGATGAAAAACTACATAGCATAACCGTTATAATCGTGACAGTTTACACCAGACATATGTGGATCAATCTTTGTAATCTTTTGAAAAAATTCGCCTGAATGGAATTGAAAACAACCCGAGGAAATTTAAGGATTTGGCTCACTTGCTTACTTCAGTTGAAACAAACCAAAGTTAGTCAACACATTCAAACTTGTTAAAAAGATGCGGTGTGTTGTAAATATTTCACTGTTTCCGTGGATTATATGTATATTGAACTCTCTCGCCAATACTGTCATTTGTTTTATCTTTTTTGTCAGAAAAGAGTGAGAAATTTTTAGGAAGCAAAACTGACAAGAAACTGACAAAAGAAGGGCTTCTGGAACCCCAAAGTTTTTTGAGAGAGGGCCGAAGCTCAAGCGCGTGGGGATTTTATCGATCCAAGTCAAATTTAATCATCAAATCTTTTCTCACCGAATCGGCAAGGATTTTTACTCTTCCAGTGGAGGGGCTCAGAGCCCCGTAGTAGTGAAGAAAGGGGAACTGAACCCAGCCCAGCCCAGCCAGGCCAAGAAGACGACTAGTCAGAACTCGATCCATACTCCTCCTTCAGATAGGGCTGGGTTCCCTTTCCCTCACTTCTACGGTACCTCCGATCAAAAAGTTGTAACGGGTTTGATCGATAGAACACCTTTAAGGAGCCCGGGGTTCTCTTCCATCGAATGAAGCAATGGGAACATAAAAAACTTGTTGGCTGTTGGTGCGTAGCACGAGACCGCAGGGAGAGCTCGTAATTGGAGAACATAGACCTTAAACTTACCTACCACCCCTTCGAAAGAACCGGACGCCAAGGACGACAAGGGAAGCACACTGATAGTCCAGGTCAAAAGCCCAGCAGATTTTTTAACCAAATTTCCTGATTTTCAAAATCTCCTTCGCATTCCTCCACTTACAAAAATTACTAATCATCAGTTTAAAATCACAACAAGCAAACATTCCATTTTCAAAAATTTAGACATAAAAATAAAAATTTAGACATAGTCGAATGGAGGTTGCATTCATTATAGTCATCCAAAATATCATTCATTCTTATTTCAAAGTAATAACTTTATATATATATATATATATATATATATATATAAAAACCTCCATTCGACTATTCCGTTCATTGCTATAAATATGTCGTTTGCCATGACAGAAGAATGTTTAAAAAAATGACAGTTGGTGGTACGTTCGTTGCTAGGCACTTAAATCTTCAAAGAATGACACTCGGGTCTGAAGATGGTCCTACCTACACATTTTGTACCATACAAGGATGATGGGGCACATGAGTATCATTAATAGTGCCTATCTGTTGGAATAGATTTCAGCAGTACACCATTCCAAATAGTCAATTCAGCCAAGATGACAGCAGCAACTACCCCCTTGTACCAAGGTAAGTTCAACAATATATTCGAATCCCTCATACTCTCTTGCTCAGTTAAAATGTCTTCAATCCAATTCAAAGACCGATAGTGGCAGATAATACTCGACACAGATCATACAGACATTGGTTGAAGTCAACTTTCACTGTTTCACTTTCACGTCCTAACTTGTCAGACTGACGCTTTCCCAAGAGAGCTTCCCGCAGCATCCAAGTTTTCTAACCAATCTCAGAGCCTCGGTTGGATGTTGTTACCCCACTATAACAAACATTAAGGAAAAAGGAACCGGCTTGTGCGGTGAGCGTGGATCGAATACGCGACCTTCAGATTTTCAGTCTGACGCTCTCCCAACTGATTACAGACATTGGTTGAAGTCAACTTTCACTGTTTCACTTTCACTTCCTCACTTGTCAGACTGACGCTTTCCCAAGAGAGCTTCCCGCAGCATCCAAGTTTTCTAACCAATCTCAGAGCCTCGGTTGGATGTTGTTACCCCACTATAACAAAAATCAAGCTGAAAGGAACCGACTTGTGCGGTGAGCGTGGATCGAACACGCGACCTTCAGATCTTCAGTCTGACGCTCTCCCAACTGAGCTATCCCCGCCATGGAATATTCTAGTTGTCAAAACATCTATAAACTTACAAGCCTTAAAATATAGAAGAAGCGGTTTGAATAGGAGATTTTCTAATTATGAATTTCTTCCAATTTCGGAAAAAAAAGTCACCCATGGGGTACTGTTAGAGGAAAATAAAATGACAAGGCAAAAAAAACTAAGAAATTTTCGTTCCTTTCAACCAAGAAGGTCTCGAACCCAAAGTCCCGGCATAGGGTGCACGAGGAACTTGTTCGGGTATCTCGTGCGCTCCAGCCACTTCCGGCCTTCGGTCCTTCTCCCTAATAGCGTGTGCGGACACCAAAGACAGTATCCACATTGAACACAACAGGTAGATATTATTCGTACAACGAACGCGTAACAAGAACCTTGATTTACAACGTACAGGGAAAACAAAGCAGACACCTCAAAACGATACACACATACTACACGCAAAGGGAGGCAGAAACTCAATACGAATACCAAAATGCGGTGAGCGTGGATCGAACACGCGACCTTCAGATCTTCAGTCTGACGCTCTCCCAACTGAGCTATCCCCGCAATTCCTTTCCGTAACCGGGACTCGAACCCGGGTCGCCTGGGTGAAAGCCAGGTATCCTAACCATCTAGACTATTACGGAAGATGGCGATAATAGTCAATCGTATATAATTGAACTAACAAATACGAAGTACTTTATTGAAGAAGTTCCCCAGATCTTGAATGCTTCTGGATTCATGCTGCACTCGAGCTTTCGGTGACAAGAACTGTGCTGATATTTGCATGCGATGGTCGCTTCTCCAACCGTTCATAGTAAAAGTGTAAGTAACCGGAGTACAATTCTCGCATCCTGAGTATCTCCCTCTACGGGGTTTGGGTACTGACCTGCTGGTGGGTGTAGATGTACAGTGCGCCGCAAGATTTATTGGGCGATTCAAGTAAGATGGCATTACGGAACGCTACAAGTACATGATCTTCAATAAATCATACTGCTATAGAACTCTTAATTCACAGCAGTAAGCAAGGTATACGAAAGAATTCGAGTTCTAAGCAGCAGTGATCTGTGGCAGCAACGATAATTGCAAGATCAGTGGCAATCTAAGGGCCAGTGATCTTGCACACATCGTTTGTTCGTGTGGACACTCTGATGGCACATAGTGGCACAGCCGAATTGAGATTCGGCTGAGGGCTTCATTGGAGCATAGCGGGGTTCATACAGTTCCTCTACATGTGTACGTTTGGAATGTGGCCTGGCCATTCCCTTACCTGTTTACGGAGGGGCAATGAGATTTTAGGATATGATCCGTGGTTCACGAGCTCGAATACAAGAGTTTTCAAACATCACCCACATCCGTACTCGGAAACTCCACCTGAAAATACGTCGACGAACTCTTGCAATAAGTGTTCTTACACTGTGCCACGTTTAAGACACATGAATGAGACAGATGTTTTAAGACCGTGGGCAGTATCTATTCTACGATCAAAGATTTCGAGGGCAAGGTTTCTGATCTACAATCATCAGATCTTAACGAGATGAAGACAGCAGCTTTCAGATGGACAATTATTGTCTCGTGCAATTATCGTTACTGTCTTGTATCGATGACAGACTTCTAATGTACTGACGAGCACGGCACAGGTGGTGTCGTTCAGGAGAAGGCAGTGAAGAACGTTTTTGATTCTAAGATTTCATCTAGGACGGGTGAGATAGGGGCTGGATTGTCACTTGCAGGAGGATGTCATGGAAATTGGAGACAACCCACGGGGAATACCGAGTCAAGCACGGCTACTGTGGAGTTGTACTATGACACCATGTGATCGATTTTGGTCAGGAGGAGGAGGGGGCCGCACAGAGAACCTATCCGGCAATTTCAAGACCAAGAAATGAGAGATTCATAGCACAAGCTTTGAACCAAACAGTGATGTCCTGCCCTCCTCACACCAACCTTCGAATTCCCGGATTGAGAAAACTGTGAGTCATCAGTGATCAGAAAGTTTGAAGCAATAGTAGCCATCATAGCGGCAAGTCAAACCAATAGGGAAACAATATTCATCACATCACTGATGATGACAGAGGTGTGAGGCTTCTATCGACCACGAAATCCGGCTTCTATTTGGATTAATCTGAACACTGCGCACGGGAAAGACCTGAGAAATTCAACGGCTACTAGACAGTAAATCAAACACTGACAGATGAGGACTGACAAACTTTGATATCGGTCTTGTGCTTCCAAAAGATGAACTATCTTCGTCAATCGTCGCAGAACCACGTCTGATAATTATGCTACACTAACTTCAGGAGGTGGAGGTACGCATGAAAAAGTGCATATTGTGGAGTGTTACCTCCAATATATACTTCTACAAGAGCTCCAACCCTAGAAACCACAAGAACAACAAGATGATCCTTCCAGAATTAGGGCACAATCGCGGCGAGGTGACTGTCAAGACTCTTCGTACAGTAAATGTATGCTCACGGATGAACCCGCAAAGAGCACCCAACGTTTTCATTTCCCCCAAGAGACCTAAAACTAGTCCTATAGCATACAACTAAAAAGAAAATCCTCCTTGTCAAGAGGACACGAGACTGTTTAGGTATTCTTGGTCCAGTCTCTTCTGAGAAGGAAATATACGAGAGAACCCGACGTTTTGATTTTCAAAAGAAGGCGAGACGATTGACACCTAAAACTAGTCCAGTACCAAAACTATCAATGCAATGCTCATTTTCAACAAAGAGTGAGATGATCGACGGAAATCCACATGACTCCTGAAGTATTCATGGTCAAGTCTCTTCTACAGGTGAAGCACATGCTCATGGATGAACTGCAGAGAGCACCCAACCCTTTAAATTGAACATTACCATGAAACTTGAGAGCAATTTCCCTGTGCAAGACAATGCCTGGCAACAATTTGGAACCCTCAAACCTGTAACAGCGCAATACAGTTATTCACAGCAGTAGAGTGCGGTGAGCGTGGATCGAACACGCGACCTTCAGATCTTCAGTCTGACGCTCTCCCAACTGAGCTATCCCCGCTGATGTAAAAGGGAAATTTTTTGTATATATAAAAATATTTTGTAAATTCAAGAGTTTATATTCTACATTGCGGTCTCTACAGTGACAACTTTCCACTCAAACAGTTACTTCCTCATCTGACACCGTGCACAATGCATTCTTGAGGTACCGATGATGAAAGTAATAACATTCATGCGTAAAGAGAAAAACCAAGCAAAACGCGGAACTAACGGGAAGACCCCATCAAGTAATACACGGATGAAATCAAGTGTCCCGGGGGACACATACCTCGAAAGAGGAGTTTAATTTCAAGTGTTATACAGCAAAATCAGGAGCAATTTTCCCACTATTGTGCAAAATTGGCAGCAATGGTGGACAAAATTGATGAGAAAGCAGAGATTACAAGAAGTCATGATGAGTTCAAAACTATTTCAAACCAAAGCAACGTTACCAGCGCACTGCAGATTTGTAGAGTCTTGAAAGGATTCTTGAAACGAAAAAGCCAACGAGGGACGACGCCTGAGAGATTCGAACTCTCGCGGGGAAACCCCATGTACTTAGCAGGCACACGCCTTAACCACTCGGCCAAAGCGTCCCACTGGTGACAACAAGGTCACCAATATATAATTTATACTATTGATGTTGATATTCAACAAACTGTCAGTTCACCCATGACACGGCAAAACGTCCTTAACGATCAACCAACTTATTATGTCATTCTTGATTGCAGTTTGAAAACCACGATAACAAATGCGAGTTCGATACAAACTTCCCACAGAAAGTATCATAAGTTACAGTACTCATTACATACACAATGGAACAGCGTTCCCAGTGCACTGTGTTTTGCTGGAAAGAACATGACGGCCGGACGACAACTGAGAATTTCGAACTCGCTGAAAAACCACATGTCTTTACAGGCATAAGCCTTAACCACCTAGCCAATGAGTCCCAAATTGGAATCTGACTACAGACAAAAAGTATTGCGTAACAACTGTACTTCAAACTGTCTCAGTTTTCAATCAGCTAACGAATACAATTAAAGAGACAGGAAATGGTT